CACACCCATACAGCTCCAGCTGAGGTAACCTTACCACAGAGCACAAAAAAGACCATGGGCGTCGCGGCCCTTTGTCACTTGGATCAGTAGCTGTACAACAGTGGTTTCCCTATGGGTGCACAAATGAGTGTCAAATGCTACTCTTTTAATTCTAATGACATGGATGCCTCTGCTGTGCCATCAGAACCTCATGGAACTGACCTTCGTGCAGCACTCAGATAATTTTCACATCATTAAGCATTTGTCTTGGGTCAAAAATTCAACCTATTTCGTAAGGGTGAAAGGATATTTCATTGCCCTAAAACACAATCAACATGCTATTAACAGCATATCATAGAAGGTACAAACTATCACTATGTCCCTCACCTTACTAGAAATTAATTTACAACCACCATCTCCTGTTGCTAGTAAATCTTTACATCCACAATATTCTACAAATACCATTGGGAAACCATAAGCTGTGACCATCACATGTGGACATGTGACACGAAGGTGATAAAAGTGATACTTCCAAAGGCCTCTGAGTTGTAACTGCATCGTTTTGAAGGACAGGGATGGTAGTTGGCGATGAGAACCAAGAGAAGAGCTGAGGTACAACGTCTCCAGCCATTTTCAATTGCAAATATATTCTCTGAATCTTGCTTGAAACTATTTGGCATTCATCAATGAATTTTATAGTCATCATTATGGTAACCGAACACCTGAATTCCCAAGTTCCCCCCCCCACCCCTTTTTTTTTTTTAAATAATAGGCTATCATTTAACACCAAAACTGAGGAGATATAAAGTTCAGAACAGTTGCAGCTAAGTATAAACTGCTTTTAAATGCTGCTGCAAAGCCCCCACAGCAGCCACACATCCATCCCGAAGTCCCAATCTTTACTTACAAACTGCTGCTCCAGTCACAGGGATTACATAAACCACTACATTCTTCTCCACCTTCTGCTCCAGACATTCCTCCCTGCTTCACACAAGCTGTAAAGAGAAACAGCATACTCTTAGTATCTGTTGAATTAATAGATAGCCATGTCTAGTCAAATTCTAGTACTGATACAGCGTGCCAGTGTCTAACAACAGTGGTGCTGATGACACGTAGATCCTCTGCCTGGCAGATGGAAGGAGGTCCTGGTGCCTCAGAGTGGCCTCCGAGCTAAGAAGAAAACAACTTTCATCATACTTTTCACTGTTAAGAACAGGTTTTAACTTGCTAATCATATATACGTATATTTATTTTGTCTGTAAGTGAAAACATTAAAATAAAGTAAAAAGGATGAATTTCACTAAAAGTACAAGAATTGGGACAGAAAATAAAGGATGAAAGAGGAATAACTCCTCTGTTCTCTGTAGTTGGGTTCTGCTAATTGCATGATGTGACAATAACCTTCATGATATGCTAATTTGTTAGATTAGAATGTTTTTAGGCTCTGTCATAAAGGCTGAGTAATAAAACTGTCTTAAGGCTCAGTAATAAAACTGTCCCAACTTGTAACAGCTCAAAGAAGGCAATCTATGAAATCAGCCTCAGCATTTGGTATAGCCTCATGTAACCCTACAAGCAACATGAGAATTTAATGATATCACATCAATGAGTGTGAATCGCCATTGAAGAAATGGAATAATATGCTCTAAATTCATTACAGACAAGCACTCAGGTGCAGTTTGCCAATTAACGTGTAACTTACCTGGCTTTTCAATAGAAAAGCACACAGGGAAGGTATTCCAGTGCTGAAATCGTTGGAGAACTCTGCCAGCTGCTGCTGAGCCATAGCTGTAAGCCTGAAAAGAACCATTTCTACGTGAGTTAGGTTATTTTTGTCAGTGAGAAAGTTTTCCATTATGCAAATATTCAAAGCTGCCCAGTAACTCATCATGTAGCTGCTTAGGGGCACAACCTAACCCAGGAGAACAGAAGACGCCACACCTTCCCACTAAGCCAGTCCCTCATGCTCAGCTACTTGGCAGGCCCTGTGCCTCTGTCACTCTCAGCCTGAGGGCAGACGAGGCAGAGGTGTGGCAGCCCTGGGAGGACATTTTACTTCTTCGAACCCTGTGAGCTAAGCATGCCCAACCTGTGGCGTGTGGCCTGGCCTGCAGTCACCCCCCACCTCCTCCACCTGCACCATCATGGTGGCAGACCTGCCCCACCAAGGAGCCCGGCCTTGCCCTGTCTGTGCACTCATTGCCCAGCACCAACCAAAAGTCACTTCTCTTTCTGTTTGTATTACCAAAACATTCACTCCAGTAGAATAGCAGCAAACGAGGCATATGCAGCTTCCAATGGCAGCTCACATCACTGGGTGGCTTATGCTGAGACAAATTTAGTAACAAACTAATACTGAATTTGCAGCCTCACATACAAACCAGGATGAAAGGAAACCAAGAGAGAGAAACCTGCTCAGCTGCATACACACCAGTGGGATGGCAGGGAACTGATCCTCACAGCACAGCACACAGGACAGGAAGTAACAGACCAAATACAAAAAGAAGACTTCTGGTGCACCCAGCCCGGCTGCTGAGTTGGGCCCCCTCCACCAGACCGTGGTCACAGGGAGGTGATACAGCTGGGCTGGTCAGTAGGCAATGCTTGTGGGCTGTTTGCAGTCCTGCCTTCCCTACCAATACTGCACTGCCAACTCAAGTCCTCAGGAGGGCTATTTACAACCAGCAGACACGCTGGTCTTGCAGGCACACAGAGAGCAGGACTGCAGCACTGTGCCACAAGACACGACTGGTTTGTGAAACCAGCCACTCCACTTGAAGTGTTTCAGGCACTGGAATCTGGAGGCTCGCTTGCCATTGCCCTCAAAGTCTGCCCTTGCCCTGACACCCACTCAGGCCTCTCCACAACCTTCCTACTGAAATTTCCTTCTTTTGGAGTAGCACAGCAGGTTCCAGGAGCACCTCTGAAATGTCCCAGAGACACCATCCCAGAGCTTCTGCTTTCCTGGTGGCCCCACAGCCTGAGGGTGCACACAGGTCTGACCTCACCACCCTGCCCAGGGAGCTAATAGCTCACAGAACAACAGTGATTCATACCATACTTCCCAGCTTGTGTTTTTTGGCGGAGGGGAGAAATGAGATTTAAGCTCAGAAGCCACCACTGTGGGCTGGTTACAAACCTGCCTTGTGTCTGTGTTTCTCCATGATCAGAAAGACAGGGAAGCAGAAGCAGGAATTTCTGGACGCCTTAAGACTTACAGCATATTTTCCCTTCCACGGTTTTCACACACCCTATCCAGTCACCCAGCTAGGTCCCCAGCTCCTGTGCAGAGTCCCAGTGACACCCAGCACCCCAGCAAGCTGAGGGGTGCAGACAGCGGTGCTGTGCCTCGCATACCCGTGACTCGCATACCAAGAGAGCTGGTGGCTTTGTGGGCTTTTGAAAGCTTCTCTAATTATGCAGCAGTTTGCTCATAGCTGCGGTGTGTGCGGTCAACAGCACTTGGGCAGCTGGCCAGCAACACAATGCTCTTCCCATCTTGCCAGCGTTCAAAGCACCCTTCAGAAAATTAGTGATAACTAGTCTCTCCGAAATCCCCATCTATCAACCAGCACAAACCAAGTTAAGAGTGAAAAACGCTCCACAGATTTAACTTCAGTACAAACAAATAAAACAGTGCGAAAACACAGCTGTTTTAAAGAAACAAGCCAACCACTGTTAATTGTGGCTGCAATGACACTGTAATCACAGTAAAAATGAAGAATTCATCTTGCAGTTGCTTCTATAACTCACACATAGGTGTTTATATCACACAGTAATGTAGAATTCTAGCATCTTTCAGTACACTCAGAAATTTAAAAATATTTACATGTGTAAAGTAAGACTTTTACTTACAAGTTTCATTAAGAATTGATGAAGTTTAACATCATTTCTTTAGTCTATCCGCTACTAAATCAGCAGAAAAACTTGGGAAATAAAGCAATGGATGGTGTGTGATGAATCCAGTAAAATGTGCATGAAATACAGTCGAAGCAAAGGATGTATGAATTACCTAGAAGTGATCAGCATTTCTCGACAAGTCGCAGTAATTCAGGCTTCTGGATTCAGTCTCAAGGGTACTTCTATGCCAAGCACAAATTGCTGAGCATCAGCCATCAGACACCAACTTGGACGTGCTGTGAAGACAGAATAAATCCACATGGGGATACAAATTTTTTACTGACAGCACCGTAAGATGCTTACCTTCAGTACACAGGTTGTGCTCGCATTGAGATCTTGCAACTTCGATTTGAAAGATGACACAGTGATTCTTCATGTGCATCTATATGAAAATGCATTAAAAACAAGTGTTTAGATTTCAGAAGTAAGCATCTGTCAAGGTGGAGTAACTGTCATGTATTCAGCCACAGCCACCCATATTCCCAGATTCTAACAAGAAGAAAAACAAGTGTGCACATAATTGGTACGATGCATAACCCCCCTTTTCTTTAGGTAGCTCTACAGTTTTCGGTTACTTCAACAGTTCTCTAGCGTATTGCTAAGCTTCAAAGTACTAGAGGTTACCACAACACATTCCAGATACATGAAAATTGTTAACACAATCTTACCTCTTTTGCTTAGGCAAAACAGTCTGTAACTTCCAAGACACAGAACAGGATATAACGAAATTTAATGTGAGCGTGCAGCCATGGCAAAATCCTTGAACCCCACCACCTCGGTTTCACACTGGCAGATGGTGAAAAGGATGCAATCCCAGTACTCTGGCATAACATAAAGGCAGAAAATATCAGTCTATTTTTATGGCTAACAAATTCTAGAGAAACTTACTGAAATAATTGGAACTGTTTCTGTGAGGCCTACTCATTGAAATAACGGTTATTTAGTTATGACAGATGCTTCAAATTTTATGGAAGTCTCCCCTTTCAGCCCTAACACTGCTTGAATAAATTACTCCATTCTGTTCGCCATCAAAGTGAACTTGCTTAATAAGTGAATGTAGCTCAGCAATAAGGAAAACAGATTTGTCCTTTGTTAAAATGCAAAAACACAGGACGAAAACCTTGAAATTTCAACTGTCATTGTTTATTACTGTTTTGGCTACATTCTCTACAATTTCAGCAGCATCTTAAAGAGACAGTTAATGTTTCTTTATATACAATGAAAACAAAATGGCTTGCAACATCAGAAACAAGAGCAACAGTTTAACTGTACAATACTAAATGAAAACCTGTGGTAATAACAGCCTCCTTTTTCTGAAACATGGACAAAATTACAGATAGTATTCAGCATCCAGAATGGGACAATAAAAAGAATAGTGAAACTGCAGAGAGATACGCTGTTTTGAAAAATAAGTTTCTACCATACAAGGCAATTAGAAAATGTTTCACATTTTAAAATACCTGTACAAGCCACAAGAAACATTTCCTTGTTGATAGGAACTTCCAGAAATAGAGAATAGCCATGAGCAACTTCTACATCTAGTACTGATGCACTCTACAGGTTGAGAGTGCAATTAATTGACTTACAGAACTGTACTGCATATGGCCAACACAGCTCGGTTTTACATGCCTTGATTGTTAATGAGTTTCCTACTCAGTCTCTCTATAACGTACAGTTTACTTGCACCTTAAGGAGGTCATCTGATTCTTCTGCTGAAGTAAAAGCAACGTTGTTTAGCAGCAATTAAAAGCGCCTTGAGGGAGACTTAAAAAAAATACAATATCCAATTAGAAAAAGCCATACTTTAAACATTTGTACAGGAATAAGTTGCTGAATTTAATGAAAATGTGACATCTGTACAACAATTTACAATAGAGCTAGAAGGGAATTCATCATTATTCCTGCATAGAATATTATACATGACCTGTTTGCATTTGGTTTCATACTGTTGTCTGCTTTTATCAGAGGCCTGGAAATTTTCACAAGTTTCAATACCACAGCAAGTACAGTATATTTAGAAAACTAAGCTTATTTCAAAATTAGCAACCTATTTGAGAAGTAAGTACCAGGAGTTCCCTATCAACCTAAATTCTGTGAAAGAACACATGTTTGGAGGTACAAGCCTGAGCGCCAAATAAAATACTGTAATTTCATTGTGGAATCTGATGTAGAACACAGCTTTGACTGTCTTGCATTTCTTACTTTGGTTTCAGAAGATCAATGTCTTGGAAACATGGCAATTTAGTTTATTAACCAGACATGGAATTTTTCTTGTTCTCAAATTTGCTGACTACCTTTTAAAAAAATTTTAAATAATGAAAAACTACCCTTCATGTTAGAACTTTCCAGTATCAACCAAATGTACTTTAAGTATTAAAAAGATTATTTACAATGTTCCCCAGAAAAAAACTAAAAACCTTTTCTTCAGTCTCAAACACAGTATACCTGTTAGTGTGCAACAGGCAATGTCATCCTTCAACATTTAAAGGCTGTTCTCTGAAGGGTATATTTATTCACAGTCCATGACCCATTCCGATCATACAAACAACACTATGTAGGAGGACTTCAGCCTGAAAACACAGTTATCAAACTTGTCCTGCAGAAAAACACCCATATGTTCTCAAGCTCAAGTATGCATTTGGAAACTACACCAAGATATCATGCCATTCCTCAGTTGGAGAAATTTCAGTATGAAATAATGCTTGAAGTAGGTGGTGTAGGGGATGCTGCTAGCCCAGTCATATGTAAGTTTCCTGAAGAATTTGATCTCCTCATATGGGGGAGAAGGTAAGGATCATTAGCCAGTTGATGGACATCAAATCTATCCTCTTTTCGGTATGCTAAGCAGCGTCTGATAAAGGCCTAGAAGAGGAATGCAAAAAGTTACAATACCATCCCAAGTAATTCCATCTGCTTACAATCAATAAGCACATCCTCCCAGACTAACCAGCTTCTAAACAGACTCTTGTTCTTACATAACTCCATTCAAAGACAGCCTAACATTCTACTACAGTTTCCAATGAAAAACAGAGAACATTGTAGCAGAAAAAAAATCAGCAAGCCTAATTGGCTTAAAGTAATCATGCTTCAAACACATGCGTCAGACAAAAAGATGTATGGACTATATTTACAAGCAAAACATTAGCATTTCACACAGGGACAATTCTGCTTGTGCTATCCCTTAGCAGCATAGTAAAAGCGAAAAGCAGATGTCTGAGAAAGTAGAAAGGAGCTCCACAGAGCTTCTAAAATCATCCAGCAGTGCACCACATGAATAGCAGAAGATGTAGGGACAGTTGCCACTTTCAACAGGCACTAACCAACAGATGATTTAAGAAATCACCACCTAGCTGGAATTTCTCTCTCAGAAAGGAGTCAATTCCAACTGATTTAAAATATCTTAAAAACCAGGAAAAAAATCTCTGTTTATCTCCAGAGCTGCTTTTGAGACACTGTACTGCCCTTCACAGAATCATAGAATCACCAAGGTTGGAAAAGACCGAAAAGATCACCCAGTCCAACCTTTCACCTACTCCCAACAGCTCCCACTAAACCATGTCCCTCAACACAACATCCAGCCTTTCCTTGAACACCCCCAGGGTCAGTGATTCCACAACCTCCCTGGGCAGTCCATTCCAGTGTCTGACCACCCTTTCTGAAAAGTAATAATTCCTAATGTCCAGCCTGAATCTCCCCTGTTGTAGCTTGAAACCATTCCCTCTGGTCCTATCACTAATGACAGGAGAGAAGAGGCCGACCCCCAGCTCACTACAACCTCCCTTCAGGAAGTTATAGAGAGCAATGAGGTCTCCCCTGAGCCTCCTCTTCTCCAGGCTGAACATTCCCAGCTCCTTCAGCCTCTCCTCATAAGCCCTGTGTTCCAGACCCCTCACCAGCTTTGTTGCCCTCCTTTGAACACGTTCCAGGGCCTCAATATCTTTCTTGCAGTGAGGGGCCCAAAACTGGACACAGTACTCGAGGTGCAGCCTCACTAGTGCTGAATATAGGGGAATTCATCAAGGTCCACATGATATTTGTCAATTATTGCATGATGCAAGTTTCTGTTAAGCCTCATGTCTAATATACACAGAACACTCAGTCTCCTGGGAACTTGGGCTTCAACATTTAATGACAGAAAATCCTTATTACTGCTACAGAACTCATTAGCACATCATTACTTAATCTAGAATTTTTTAAAAATTACATATCTTCTCTTGATAAATCCCTTCAATTGTTTGTCCTTTGCTCCAATTAAACTTCCCTTTAATCTCCAGTTTTTAATCTGTGATATAAATCCTGAAGAACCCTGTTAAAATTCCCTTCTAACATACACATATCTTGCAGGAACTAGTCACAAAATAAAAACATGCACACCTTAACATGAATTCACATGTTCTTGGACATTTGTGGATTTAATTGAATTCTTTATAATGAATCCCTAAGAAATGAGCTGGTAAGTGTAGTTTACAAGGTTCTCAGAGTAACAGATTGTTTCTAAAATGTTTGTAGAATACTTTGTGGTTCTGTGGCAGTGCAAATATTACTACAATGCACAGGACACAGCACAAATTAGGAAAAAGTAGCAAGGAGCAAAGGATAATTGCAGTCTGGAAACTAGCAGTGTCATTTCAGATTTTGTATTTATATCCCTATGTTTTCCAAATCAAAACTTCGTTTTGATTTTATTTATTGCTTATTGCTGTTCTTTTCCAACTACTAGGCCTATAAATTTACGCAGTCATCATAAACTATCCAAATTCACAAGTTAGTCTGAAATTGTTTTATAGTGCTTCCACCAGAAGAATTTCTCCCTCTCTTTTACAGCTATCGTGACATTGTTAATAATTTTTCATTATTCTCCACTCCTGCTTTTTCAAACAGAACAAGGAACAGAGAATATAAAGTAAGTAACTATCTGCATCAGAACGACAGTGAATTATTTGCTCTCTTCCAATGCCCTTCAGAAAAACACTACTTATCACTAGGAAATGCAGAGTTAAAAGACAGAAATATAAACTGCTAGCACATAACATTACCAGCTATGAGTTCTATGATGCATATTTGTCAACTGCACTCAAAGGAGATGATTTTTCTGAACTGAGACGAATCTCCCCAAAATGAAATCAATCAACAACAACAACAACAAAAAACCAACAAAAAACAACCATCCCCACCTCCTCCAAACTAACAGGACAAACTGTAATATTCAACCAAATAGTCATAATTCTAACTGCAGCTCATTCATTAAAACTAGTTCCAGAAAATACAGCCAACACAAACGCACCGCTACTGTTTATGTCCCTGACATAACTGTTTTCTTGGGAAGCTACATCCTCTAAAACTGTGTTGCCTTTCATTTTTATCAGAAGCTCAAATGTCTTAAAATCTTTAAACTTTTAGCAGCCTTTTACTTATACAAACAAGTAACTGGGAATATTTTCTTCCAAATTCACAAAATTGGATTTGTCATAGACGCTCACATCAGCAATAAAACAAACAAACAAACAAAAAAAACCACCAGAAAATCAATTGAATCTGTTCTCTTAATCACCAGTCTGCGCAACTGTGTTTGATACAGTTTCAAAATAAAATTATCAAAACCCCAAAAAGCATCACAACCCTTAAAAATAAATGAGACAGGTTTTAACCACTGCTCTGAGCTCATATAAAACATTACCTTGGCTTCATTGCTAACAACAGGCTTAACAGGGAACTGGACTTCTGTGGCTTTTAATATTGTATTTTCTTGTAAGATATCTTGCTGAGATTGATTGTGGCCAAATGGCTGAAAAATAAGCAAGGGATTTTCTTCATGACAGTTATGCAACCATTTTGATTTCATAAATACTTATCCAAAAGTAAATTGATTACAGTGTTAATATATGTTTCTAACCACTTTTCAATTAAAAAAACGTTTCAGTCAAAGCCTTTTACATTTCTCACAGTATCAGTGCACACTAGCAAAAGCTAACACAAGTCTTTTCCATATGGACTCACATATTTACAACTATTGTTCACATTCTACTGAAAACAGGCCAGCACTTATACTAACAATTTAAGATAGGTAAACAAAATTTTCCTTACCTTTCGACCATAAAGACACTGGAAAAAGATTACTCCAACTGACCATACATCAACCTTATTAGAAATCTTTGGTGGCTCTTTGCCAACTACAAAACACTCTGGAGGCAAGTACCTGAAAAAGAAAACGTGTGCTTCAGTGTCAGCAAGCAGATGTATGAATCACTAGAACTTGTTCAAAGATCAGAAATGGTATACAAAAAAAACTGTGCAAGTTGATATTTGAACAACTGTGCAGTTAGCTTACGATCCTTATTCCAACACTTACAACACTGATCAAAACTGACAATACAATTTTTTGTACAGTCAGGCAGTCAAATAAGGAACCTATTCTTTACTTAAAGAACTAATAATCATTAATTATTCAAGCACTGGGATCCTAGATCCCAGTTCAAGATTATTCAAGATCCTGGGATAGGTAAATATACACCTTCTGTCTCTGTTTGAACATGGAAAGATGAAAACCATACAGGACATTTAAAGCTAGGTCTCAATAGGAATCAAATGTAACATACATATGATTTTAAAGTTTTCAGTAAGAATGCTGATATTAATAAGAGAATTATAAGGTAGGTAAATGTGATCATATTTCTATGCCTATAATTTCCATGGAAGCCATACTTGAAAAACTGAAAGCTGATTAAGTTCTTATGGCATCCCTGAATTACAGAGGAATTTATGCAGTGCAATCTCCTTCGAAAAAAATAAAACCAAAAACCAAAAATATCACTATGAAGGCAGTTAATTATTATTGACTGCAATAAAAATCTAAAAATGGGGGTAAAAAATCCTTCAGAGCCATGACATATCAGACATTCTTTCATCAACAGCATGTAAAGCTTTAAAAATAATTTACAGAAATGCCTGTGAAAATGGAAATAAGCAAAAAAAATGAAGTAAGAATGCAACACAACTATGAATTTCATACAACACAAAAAAAAATTCTTCTAGAATACTTGTGCACAATCCTGATTACAACATGCAAGAAAGATGTACTCAGACTAATGCAATCACACAAAAAAAACTACCAAGATGGCACGAAGAACTGAAAGCCACAATTCAGAGAGAAGCCAAACACTTTAAAAACACAAGGGAGCAAGTATCAGGAAGGGAAACAACCTAATTCAAAGGAGGCCAGTGTTGGTGCAGGAACAAACAAGTACAAAGTGGCTACATGCAAACAGTTCTATAAATTAGAAGATTAAGTTTCTAATGACCACGGAACTGAGGTTATGGAACAAACTTCAAATCAGAGATGACTGGGGACAAAACACTGAATTTAATACAGGTGGTTCTAAGTCTACAGAACAGATTACATGACCAGAACGCTTGGAAGGACAGGTAACTCGACCCGGAGACTGAAGAAATCCCTCCCACTACTCCATTGCCGAGTTCATGCTATTTGCCTCACACAGACTTATCCCCATCTCAAACTAACTCAAAACTTTCCCTCAGAGGAAGCAAAAGTTAGAAACACAGAGATTTATCATCATTGTGTAAAGGTCACAGACAATTTTAGATCTCCCAGTTCACAACACCACTAGTGCATGTGGTGCTCTAGATGAAAGCTAAAGACCCAAACTTTTTGAATAGTGTTCCTACAATTAAATATTTAAACTCATATTTAAATTGGAGCATTAAGGAAAGCAGGAACAGTCTAACATTTCTAAAATGCTTCAACTTTGATGACTGTCTTTTCATGAGACGCGCATCCTAAAAATTTGCAAGGAAAAGACAATCTGTTAAATGCAACTTTCAAATAGAGGAAAAGTTTAAGAAGAAATAGGAAGGACACTGGCTTCTCTGTTTAGAGTTAAGAACTGAAATCTGAAACCTATCTTGCCACAGACAGAATGAGGAGAAAAACAAACAGATGAATTCACAAATAATCATCTAGTCAATATAGGCTTTCTATTCCACTCACCCTGACACAGGTACTGTGCACACAGGCTCAAAGATCTATTGTGTCAGCTTGCATCTTTACAGAATAAATTCTACAAACAGCTTTTCTGTTAGCAATAAAATGTTTTTTTTTTGTCATTCTTGCTCTGTAGACAGATCTACAATTTCAGGTTTTTGGACAAGTATGTGGATACACACAGAAAACAAGATACAGCTGCTCAGCTGTCATTAACCTTTAGGATGGAAGAATAAGTACTCTTTTATCCTAAGGACATTACCTTCTGGTAATCCCTGCTCTAAGATTTCCAAGGACTAAGCGCCCACTCTTAATCATCACAGCTCTGTCAAACATCTTTAACCACCTGCAGCCAAAGACTAAACACCTGCTTCTTCTGGGAAACAATGTTTATAAATCACTGAGATTTGCTCCGCATTTTAAATGTATGTATATCTATATCTAGATTCCTAACTTACTTCAATTATGGCACTATTCTGGAATTTTTGTGAATATCAAGATCCACAGTACTGCACAAAAATCTTTGTTTGTTATTCACGTTAGTATTTTTAATCCTAGCTATCACTAGGAATTAGCTTTATGAAAGCATTTCAGAGCCTCAAAAATGACCTAAACAATAAAATCAAATCAGGCATTACCAGTAAGTTCCTGCTCCTTGTGAAGTTAAATCCATTCCATCCACACCATAGCTATCATCATCCATTATTTTGGACAATCCAAAATCAGTAATTTTTATTTCTCCACATGCTGTTCCATCTACAAGAAGAATATTACCTAAACAGAGGGGAAAAAATACATTTTTTAACTTCAAAAAACGCCACCAGAATGCTTCGTTTTCAAAACCAGCCACAATTTTCAGGAACATTCAACTTAATGAGGGTGAATGATATCTTTATATCATCTTTATGATCTCAAGTCTAGAGCAACTAGACTATGACATTTTAGTGCTATCTCAGGAACTCTCTAGGTTATCACTACTATCATCTTAGATGGCTTGCCCAACTTGGAGCTGACTGGACAGCAATATAAAACAGTATACTAGTCACAATGAAGTTTAATATTTTTCTGTCCAAAAAACGTTCTAAACTACACATTTCAGGGTTTGCACATGCCAGAAAATAGTGCCAAGACATGCTGCAGTTCAAAAAAATCTAGCTCCACATGCTAAAGTTGTGCAATAATTTGATTTCAAAAAATCATTTGATGAGTTTCCTCTAAAAATAGAACAAAAACTAATGAGACTAAGATTACATTCTGTACAACTTCATAATATGAAATCTGTTATTCCTTAATAGAAATCTATATGAAGAATTCAGCAAGCAAACAGCCTGGCATTAATAGCTACACAACAAACCCTAGACTTGGAAGTTTAGCAGATTAAAATACACAAAAAGCATAAAAGATGGAATACGTCATTTAAGGCAATATTCATTATTATTACTAGAAAACTTGACCAGAATTTAGAGAAGAGATCCAAGTGACAACAGTGTTTACACTGGCTTCTTGAAAAAAACTAAACTACTTCAGATAAAGAGGTAGTTAAAAAATAATAATAATAATAAAAAAAAGCTACAAACATGCAAGATGCATAAGAAAAAACAGATTTGGAATTAGAAAATATTTCTCCAAAGTCCTGGTTGGAAACACTTATCCTTAGATGTAGAAAGTGATTATTCCAACCCTTTATAGTCTAAGAAATATGAAAGGGAAAAATTATTTAAAAATCAACATTTTATAATGATCAGATAGGATCGAGTCAAATACTGATCTTAAATACTTATACTACTAAATATTAATGTATCTACAGGCTCTATGACACTTTCTTACAAATACAAATCAAAATAGCACAAAGGAAAAAAGTTGTAAGAAGTATTTTTATAAAGAAAAGAGATTATTTTAACGTTAAAGTGGAAAGAAAAGTATCTACCTCTCAGATTAAAATAAACCTGACAAGTCAAAGATAATTTTGGTATTTTGAGGCATGAATTATAAAAAAAACTGATAAATGTGATGATGTTTTCTATTTTGCCATTTTTCATTTACCTGGTTTAAGATCATAGTGTATAATAGGGGGCTTGATCTCATTGAGATACCGTAGTGCATTTACTATTTGCATTACAATGGACCTAGCTTCCTTCTCTGACATCAATTTATGTTGCTTGAGATAGAAATCCAAGTCATTGCCTTCACAGTATTCTAACACCGTGCAAAACCTATGGCAGAATTTACAGACAAAATTAAACAGCATATTCAACTGCAAGATCAAAGTTATGACAATATAGTTTAATACCAGTAACTTTAAGAACAGCTTACTGAATATTAGATTACATGAACGAAATTGTTAATAAAACATGTAGCATAATGATTAGACTATGAAACCTGATATCAATCAGAACACAAACAACTCACCAAGAAAGAAAGCTTATGCACACAGGTGTTACAAAACAGTGTTTTCATCACTTTACAGAAGATCTCCTATATATACCTATCTGCAACAAACTTCTGCAACTAGTGGTTGGGGTTTTTGTGCTGTCGTCCATTTTTTTCCCCTTCTTTTTTTCAAAAAAATAAAAAAATAAAAAATAAAAAAAATCCCTAATGAAACTGTAAGTATTTTGGCTGAAAGTCAAATGTTCTTCACTTCTGCTTATCCAACATACAACACTAAAGCCCCTGTCACGTTCTAGAAAACATATATTCTCATGTACTTACGTATCTGTATCCAAGGAGAAGTAGTCATATAATTTAACTATCCGGGGGTGATCCAGTTCTTTGTGTATTCTATACTCTCTGCAGGCATGTCTAGAAGAAGATTGATACATTAATCTTCCACAATTGATAAAATGCTATTCAACTTAACATATGAAGCGTAAGTCATTAATACTTACTTGTGGTAGTTTTCTTTCTTTTCATCCCTCCAGCTTTTGTTAAGCTGGTGAATCTTCACAGCAGCATATCTTTGTTCATAAAGATCAAAAGCCTAAAAAAGAAACCCACAAACACAGGAAAGTTATAGTAGAAAATGATGATAAAAATAACACCCAACAGAAAGAAACAAAACTGGCATGTAATTCACATGCCTAATGTAATGCTACCTCTCTTCCACAGATTAATCAAGAAGGTTTTGCTCAATCACTGTTTAACAAGTATACACATTAAAATCCTCTTGCTTATTCAGATCCCTATTTTCACTCCAGTCCCAGAAATCAAATGGACAAGAGTATACGCTTCAAACACTAGATTTAGTAAATTCAACACACTCTACCTTGTATACTTCACTGAAGCCACCTCGGCCAAGTAAATGGAGCAACAAATACCGTTCATTCAATGTGGGGTGATCTTTAAACCTTGAAAAAAAAAAAAAAAAAAAGATTTTATTCATTTCTGTTTAAGATATCAAAACACAGCCTAAAATGTAAATATCTGGGTATTCCTTCTTAAACAGAACTTTTCTTTCTACCAGTGACATATAACATACTGAAGAATATTTAACCATGTGCAGCTTTATGGTGCAGTTATACAACAGTAAATTTCAACTGTTTAGCATAAAACTCCTATCACAACATTATTGTCAAATCCCCTAATTCTGGCAAACTGTTTGCCATTTTTCTCTCTTCGTGAGGATAACAAAAAAACCACCCTTAACTCACTCTCTGTAAACACTATGCTCACGAATCAATAGGGAAAACACTATTCTGTGTTACATTCACTTTGTTTTGAAACAAAACCACTATCAACAACAGTAATCATCATCAATATCATCAACAGTAGAATCAGTAGGACCTGCATCTACTCCATAGCATGAGCTCTGCTTCTATACTGTCTGAATAACCAGAAATAAGAATAGAATTTCAACACATTTTTCATCTCTCCAATCTGTTCACTTTACCCCTGTTAATAAACATGCCCAGGAACCATGCAATGCTAATACTCTAAATGTTGGTGAATACTGCTTTGCAATCTGTATCACTAGAGGGCTGTGGTTCTCTTCCATACATCCTCCAGAGGTATCCTGCCAAAATCCCAAACCCTTCCTTTGCATAAAAGGTTTAAGAAATGAGATACAGCAGTGCTCTGCTCAATGATCCCAATTTGCAAGAAGTCAGCTTCTGATTTCTGGAATTGATGAGGAAGATACACTTCCAATTTCACACAAAACTTGACCAGACCTGTTGTACATATTCATCTTCCAACAAAATGACTTATATATAAGACTAAGAAGTTATAAAATAACAAATAGTAACATGTGGAAATCATGTCAAATGACTATGTATCTGCTCACACTCTCATGAAAAGCAAGGAGGAAAAACTCTTCCCAAATGCAAAATGATGTTGCAGGATAAACACCACACTCTCTCCTGACATACGCAGAAGATAAAACACATCCTTCAATCAAACCAGCAGCCAGAGTCTGACTGCTTATGTTAGTGACAATGAAGGAAAAGAGCAAAAAGGATTCAGTGAAACATGATAGCTGCTGTAGCCCTTTCAGGCTTTGGAAATGGATGGAATAGATGGAAATATGCTTCTTATCAGCTGCCAAACTCCTGTTAAACCAAGATGGTGAACTGATTGTCCTTCCAACAAGAAACTGGATTTCAGTTTACACTTTTTGAAAAACAGGTTTCTAGAAAAGCTCTTCAGAGAAGGAAAACTTGGGTAAATATTTAGGCAAACAGACAGTAAATGACACACACAATACAAAAATTTGCAAGTTTCGTCACTCAGAGTGATAGGTGACCTCATACAGTGCTACTGTATCACTTTAGTACCAAAGATAAAATACTACTAAAATTGGCAATAACAAGAAAATTAGAAAGTTTGTTCGTGATTTCTGAAATGTGAAATAGTCTTAAAAAAGAAAAAATTAAATTAAACAGTATTCTGAAGTTACATCAAAACATCTAAGCTCAGAGACGCATCTAATTAATGTTTGCTGTGTAAGATGTTACTTCTTACATTTGTCTGCCTATCAAGGAGAGGAGATTGGGGGAGGGTAGTGAATACTCAACCTATCTTCGGAACAATGATGAGATGCTTATACTCATGAATCTAAGGCCAGTTGCTAACTATACCCCATGGCAAACTTTAAGAGTTTAGGGCTAGTTTTAGGAAAAATTAGACCAGAAGACTGAGCTGGAGTTAAAATTAATCCAGAGAAAGAAACCATGGAAGCTGGAAATTTAACTTGGATCAACTTTCAGCTGCTGTTCACTAGAGAAATGCCATTGCTGGCAAGAGAAAAGAAAAAGAGCAAGGGTATAAGGAAATAGCAGATAGGCAGAACAAACTTATTGGAAGCAACATTGCCACCTTAAAGCATTGATGAAACACTATGTGTTAGAGCTTGTATTCCTCACCATGGAAAGCACACTAACTTTATTAGTTGGAATCTACAAAGTTAAAGTAAACCTTAAATGCCAATTTAACATTAGGATATACTGCCACGTGAGCTGAAGTATAGCTAAATTTAACATAACACAGAAGATTCTATCTTTGTCTTTCTCCTATCAGGCACCTGTAATGTAAATTATGGTGTAATAAAACTAACTGACTTAACTGCTTTACCAAATAGTTCTTCACGCACCAAACCTCCCCACCATTTTCTTGCATTACTGTCAGCTTATGGTTCCAAGATTTCTTCCTGGTTCCAAGATTTTTTTTCCTAGTGAGGTGATATTGCAAATTTTAGCATTCCTGCATTACAATCTGTGTGTGTGTATTATTTCCTGCATATTCAGTGAACTATTAAGCTTTAAAAAAATCACTTCTTGTTTGGTAAAGCTTAAATATGCTGTTTTTTAAAATGCACACAAACAAACAATGAACTAAAGAAAAAATAATGAACCTGCTTATATCCTACTAAACAATTTGATTTTAGAGCCGTATTTTTAAAGTAGACATGCAAAAATAAAGACAGTAAATCTTACTGTGAATTATCTTCATTATTAATTCTTTTCAGCTCTCTGATGTGAAGATTCCTAACTCTTTCCAAACGTTCAAGTTCTGCTTGTATTTCAGCTTCCTCCTGGAAACGAAAAGAATTAAGTATAAAAGCTCATTTACTCCTCACTTGAAAAGGATATTTTTACCCCTGCATCAATACTAGTGGTGATGGAGGAACATTACATTACAAAACCATACTGATCTAGAAGAAAGCACTGCTTTTCTTCTAAAGCCTGAAAATCTCAGAGAGATAAGGCAAAAAATATTTTCAAGGAACTTCCTGTTCATGAATCCCCAGGGAATGGGATGTTCACAGTGCTGTTCTGCTCCGTAGGGATGCTATTCAAAATGAGAGGCAGCTGGGTTTTGTACCTCAGCCAAGGAGAGAAATTATCTGGGAAGCAGGCTAAAATCAATGTATGATGAAGAAAAAAATGGAGATATGCACAGTTACAGATTTTGTACAAACTGGCAGATTAGGAAAACATGTCTGAAGTATTTAGAGGTTGGAGGGTAAACAAAAAACATAACAGAATAAATCGTTACAGCAAAAGTGCTCTTAAAGTGCTGATACAGAACACCAAAACAAAGCTAATTTCAAAAGATTTATCCATTTCTATCTTACTAAACTTATAAACATAGAATACGTATTACCTAAAACCTCAAATGCAATTTCAAAAAATACTATGTTAGCTATGAGGATATTCTCTAACTAATCTTGTCACTTAGAACTATGTCATCTCTATGCTGCATATAAGAAAACATTTAAGTAGTTATCTGTTCAGAATCTCAACAAAAAAAGGGAAAGAAAGCACAAAACCTAATTTATGGACACCAGCACATCTATCCATGTGGTACACTCATTGAAAGACTCTGTCAAAAGAGCTGCATCTATTTCAGAGTAAGCACCTCTAAAACTTGAAACTTTGAAAGAATGGGAGCCAAAATTAGTCCATAGACGAAATCTAATAATTACAAAAGTACTCTAGCTGAAAAGAAGAAAGAAAGCCTGGCATCTGATACGTGATTTTTTGTGTTTGTTTTTTTTGTGTGTGGATTTTTTTCCTCCCCACCAGTGCCCCACATCTTCTTGTTATTTTGGCACAAACTGTTTGTACAGCTACATGGTGAACCAGACTTGAAAACTGATCAACCTTTTCTTGGAAAGGAAAAAAAAAAAAAAAAAAAAAAGGCAAGCCTTGCCAACATGTGTGTATTTGTTTTTTGATAAAAGATCAGTTTTCCGATCCAATTTGCACTGTAACTGCACAATCTAAAGGCAACAAGTCATGGTACAAGGAGTGGAGGCTGATATCATCATGGGGGAGAAAAAAATGCTTTAAAGTCAGCGTTACTGAACACTGTACATCATAAAACCCCATTCTGAAACAACACCCGTATTTATATAATCTAGAGACCTATCAAATAAGTTTAGGAAACCAGACCAAACTATCATAAAATCAAATGATACATAATTTGTTTTTAAGTGGTTAAGAGGTTCTTTTGCATTGGTTTTTTTTCCTGTTTACAGAATTTGGAATTTTTTCATATTTAGATTAATACTTGTAGATCTCCATTAAATACTCTGAAATTATATGCAGTTCCTCATAACCCACAGGTCCTCTAAGAAGAATTCCAATCCTTCTATCTTCCTCAAAAAGGCCACACACTTATACATGTTTGTGCTCTTCCTAAAGGCTGACAAAAATAACCAACACATCAGTTATACCTCTTTTGGACTTTTTTATTCATATATTATGCAATTCAGTTGTTCTCAAAATGTGGTTCACAGGTCAGTGTTAGTCCGAAGAGAACTGGCTGGTTGCATTGCTTCCAGCTGTTATTTAGGACACTCAGATTGTGAATACCTTTAAGCAAGAGCGAACCAGCTTAGCTCCCTCAGGTCACTGCTGTATAAAAGGAAGTGAGAAAACAAGAGCCTCTCTCCAGGACTAAAGCAGCTAGTTGGAAAAGAATTTCCTGGGGAGCAGAAGGAAGAAGAGAACTGGTGGTGGCAGAACGTACAGGGCATTTAAAGAAAAAAAAAAGAGCTCCAGGAAAGCATCTGGACAGCGAAAAGGAACAGACAGCAAAACAGCATATGCAGAAGGAAAGAATAATAAATGTAATCAGCAGTGATCAGCAGTGACAAAAGAAACACAGTAACGTAAAAAGTAGCAAAATTATTTTTCTTAGTTACCAACAAAATCTCCATCATACATGGGAATTAAAACGCAAGAATGTATACTTATTATTACTTTCATATTTATTCAAACATGATTTGCCAAGAAATAGTATTTTTTTCCCTGTGACATTTAGTCAAGTTTGTTCTTGCACAGAGAACCTTAGCAATTATACTCAAGGTCTAAACCAAATCTGGGTATTAAACAAGTTTCTAACAACTTCCTCCAGATATCACTTGCAATTTCCAATAGATATAAAAAAAATAGATAATGCAATCTACAGAATTTCGTAACACAATTTTAAATGAAGCTGTTGCTATTTCTACTGCAACGAAGCGCAAATGAAGTGGACAGAGTCTACCTCACAGAGCCAGCAAGTTTCTATTCAAATTTTCTACTGTAGGTTCAAGTGTTCTCTAGGCATACTTTCCAAAAACAGCACCAGTGTTCTCACAGGGCCTAGCTGGCTTCAAGAAAAAAGCACTGCTAGATTTTTTCAAAAGTCAAAAACAGGAATAATGCACACATAATTTAAGAGACCAGAGAGCTAGGAAATATTCTTTCCTCTCTTGCTATAAATAGTATACAACTAAAGTAGATACGGCAGATTACCCAAACATAGTGTTCATTCAATGTCCCATACCGGACCTTTTTAAAGGTCCAATACCAATGTAAAAAGTCACATCAACTTTGAATCCATGTTCTCAGCTCTAAAGCAAGACTGGTAGTTGTGGTTACATCACTGTTACAATGATTCTTTACTGCTCCCTTCTACTCTCAATGTCTATAGTAAGCAAACCCTCTCCTTACTCTGACAACATTAGTTGTGACTGTTAGGGGCACAATCCAACAGTGCTAGAACTACAGGGCATACACATACCTTCTTGAGATGTCCTAATCGAAGTTTGAAAATTTCTTCCTGTTCATGATACTCTGCTAGAGTCAAACTGTTAAAAAAAAAAAAAAATCTTATTTAGTATTCCTATTTAAATGCTACAACACACGTGTTTTGTTAATTATTTAAAATCACAATATCAAAGCAGTCTTTTTGAACCCTTCGAATCTTCACTTCTGTAACATCAGGGTAAAAACATGCTTTCCAGAGGAGCAAATGTATGTTACAGGGGAAAAAAAAGATAATGGCCTCCACAAGAAATGCTAAAAACACACTAAGTGATGAAAAAACTAATGCTGGATGGCATACACATTTTACTGTCTTGCTTAGATTTGTTATTTGCATTATCCAAAGCTAAGAGCATGACATATTTTTAAGAAGTCCATAATTTACTGAGTTCAATCATCAATACTCCTGAGAAGGTAAGCAATACAATGTACAGAAAACACTCCAATTCAAGTGAAAAAGAAGCAAACAAACAACACTCATGTCTATGTTATGTCCCTATCAATTTTAGAAGGAAGCAATTTTTCTTTTTTTTTTTTTTTTTTTTAAAAAAAGAAGCATTACACAAACTTACCCTACATTTTTTTTCCTACTGTAATGAATAGCAGCCATGAGAAATCCACAAGCATTCTGAAGGCAAAAAGCGAGGAAATTCACCTCTCTTTTCAAGAAGAGAAGGTTCCCTTAGAGACACATTTTGGCACTAAACTTTTACATTTTTTTTCCTGACAGAATCTCCTCCGGGAAGGAAGGAGAGGCATTAAAGCAAATGTGAAATGGGATATCTCAATAGGCTAAGAACACTGGCATTGCATTTCCCAAATGACAGCAAGAAACCTGAAACAGTGCTCTAATTCCTGCTCTAATCAAAGATCCATCAAAGACAGCACTAAGGCCAAGTTCGACAACTCATAGCAGCATCTCTGATGCTTTTCTCAGTATTCCTTGAACAGCTAACCGCTCTAATATGGATTAGGCTCTCACAAAAAAAAAAAAAAAAAAAGCAAAGGAAACCAAGGTGAATAAGGTTAAGTATTATTTCCTTCCAGGTTCTTGTCTCCAGTATAAATACCAGGTTTGTGTATCTATTTCCAGAAACGCAGATTATGTGAAATTTTCAAACAGAAGTATTTTAGGTGGATTAGAAAAGCTGAATCACAAGTAAAACACGCTGAAAATATAAAGTCTGTAACATAAGATATGCCAGAAATTTCTTTGAACACTAAAAGCCCTAAAACCAAAGATGCATGATATTAAGATGATAACGTAGTAATAGTAGGACCATACATGCTCTTTTTTAATTTTAATTAAATCTCAGCTATCTACGCAGTTACAACAAAGTGCTTAGATGGTTCTAATAAGTATTGCCTTCCAAGAAGTACTTAAATAGCTCTCTTCAGTGCAAAGCACAAGTTCAAGGTCGTATTGAAAACATTAAGATTTGAAGTCACTCTTTCCATATGTCTACATTACAACCCAATAAATCACTATTTTCATTTTTCTATTTCCTTACAAATATAATTCTATTAGAGACACAGCACAATTAACAACGATTTAAATCTGTTGTTACTGACCACTATGTTTCAGAAGAAAGCATGTAAAATTCTGAACTGTAAGCAGAGATAGCTGCTTTGGATTTTGTTAGCTTAGTTTTGAAAAACGACTTTTTTTTCCTTCTTACATTCAGAAACATATATACTCATTTAAAAAGCACAGAGGTGAAGTGCTGGTTTGTTGTTTTTTTTTTTTAATCTATTAATACACTTTATATTAATGCTCTTGAAACAGTATATAACAAATAGCAAAAGAAGGACAATATGCATACTGCCTGTTTTCTAGCTACATGCCACCGCCCCATTGCAAAGGCCCAAAACATCTAAGACTAGAGTGCTTCCACCACCTACCTCCTGTGGTCATCACACCTGACAACAGGTGACCTACAAGACACCACTACCTTCTGCAGAAGAGGCTGCTCCTCAGTCACCCAAGACCAAGGAAGGTCTCATCAGATGTGGAGGAGGAAAGACCAACGAGCACACATGGGAGGGACAGTGGTTGGTGACAGGTTGCCACCATCCAGGAAGGGCACTGCAGTTGGAAAGTTGAGCTTCTGCTTGACAGAAGGAGTGCTGGAGAAAGAGACCAGCTGGGGGTAGGCAGTGTGAATGAATCCGGTAACATTTGGGTCCTGACCACGACCTCTTCCACTCAGAACTACCATGCGATAAATGCTGTGTTTTAACAGTCTGCAGCCAAATTAACATCATACGCATGCAATAAATTCCTGAAACTCCAAAAAAGTACTCCATATATTCTACACATGCATATTTGCACATCTGCAACATTTAGAGCCGTGGTATGCCGTATTTATTTGGCACTATAAGAAAGCAGTCAGCCTTCCAAGCCTGAAAAGCTAGGTATCACAATGTAAGCATTTATTTTATTAGGGGGGGGAAAAAAAAAGAAAAAAAAAAAAAAAAAAAGAGCCTTCCAATAGTTTAACAATGTTCATAGCTGAATTTCTAAGGCGACACAGTATGCATAGGTAACCTTACCAACCTCTGCACTTCTTCCTCACAGGTTAGAACAAAACCTTCATCTGTGATAAAAACATACCTACTAGTGGCCACAGACAAGACAAAAAAAAGTCCAAATGGCCACACACTCCTTTGTTGTCATGACAATTAAACCCAGCACATGAACAACAATCTCTTTTCCCACTGTTTCCCAGATGAAAAATCATCATGGGTACATACATACAGCAGAATGCTGCTATGCCCCAAAACAGCAATTTGCACATCCAATAGAAGCACTTGGGTACAATTTGTGAAGTGCTTTTTTTGGAGGGGGAGGGGTCAAACTTATTCAAGTTCCTAGAATTTCTACAAAGATGGGCAGCAAAGCTGACCAATTCAAGATTTCCCTGAAGTCTTTTCACCATGTCCCATTTCTTCCATTGTTTCCATGTCTGCCTCAAAAAGAGGCAGCCTCAGGAAAAGAGCTGTTGTCACTCATTCTGTAAAGCCTAAGACACATTGTTGGCACTTCAATCTGAAAAAGTTTCTGAAAATATTTTTGTTTGTTCCATGCAGAACAGAATGCTCTCTCTAAACGATGCATTTGTTCAGCTACATTAACAAACTCTGCCAGCTCTTTATGCTCCCCTATTTCAAATTATGTACAGGGATGAGAATGCATGCAGACTCCCATGGAGTAACTGGGCAAGCAGAGAAATCATTGAGTGTTAAATACAACCAATACACCTGAAGGTGGATGGGAAGGACTATACCACCCGAATTACATCAAGTTTTGCCTCCAGAAATAATAGTCTGTATAAAAAAACCAAAACACTTTCAAAGCTCTCTAAAGTCATCAAGAATCTGGAATTTGGAAACGAAAACACATTTTCCCAGGGCTATGAAAGTTAACTGTATTTTAAATAATGTTTCTTCTTCAAAGATATTTCAATATACTACTTTATTTCATTCAGTAAAGAGGGATCTCTCAAAACTAAAACTACTTTTATTTTTGGTTGGGGACAAAAAAAAAAAAACAACCTGAATGCATGCTGGAAAATCAGGACAGCATTTAAAAAACAAGATGCAGGATGAGCCTAAACATCCAAAATCACCTTTCACTAATTGAGCAATGTCAGATAGCCACTTCTCTATTGGTAACTCCAGTGCCAAGACTTTGCTTTTAAATTGATATCGGAGAACATGTCCTGCTAAAACACAGCAATGCTCTTACTAAAGAATGCCTTGGACAACAACTTAAATTGATTTCAAAACAGTTAACCACTGTTTTCAAAAATAGCTTCAATAACACTGCTTGTTACACAAAGCTATAGATATTTTTCTCTTGTCAATAGCTGAACTAGAGATAACTTCTAAAGCAAATAATGTTAGCATCGTAGGGACACTTGTTGCTAATATGCAGTAGCAAGTTGTTGGTTTGCTTAAAAAAGATTTGCCTAATCACTTGCATGTATGTTGTGTTGATTTATTACTGTTATAGTTCATTAATCTCAGCAGCTCTGCATTTTCCCTGGCCTAATATAAATAGAACATCTTCCATTTGACTGTACTAATTAAGATCATTACTTTTGACATAACACAGGAATGGTGATAAGCACAATGTAATAGGAGGAGATCACACGCAGATGACAAATTTACACAAAAATGGGAGAGCACAGTTAGTAATTGTTTCAGCAAGGTTCAGATCTCAGAAGCAAAGAGGAGTCAACACACAGCACTGCTGTGTAACATCGTAACAAATCCTTAATGTAAACATTTTTAATGCCCTTCAAGTAAAGGCGTAAGAGCATGACACAGCTTAATGCTTCTGTAATCTCAGGACATACTAGAAACCTCAGAGGTTTGAAATAACATTAATAAGTTTGTCATAAAAACAAGAAATCTTACATGAAGATGATAATGTGATCAAATTAAGCAAAAGTAGTTTCAATTTGGTAACAGTTTATTAGACACAGAAGGGCAATTCTGATTGTTCTCTGGGCAACTCTGTTACAGCAGGCATTTTCTTGTGCCATTTAACACATTGGTTAAGCTGAATTCAATGAAAAACTGATTCTTTGTTTAGAAATTTGCCTTGGTCTTATTATGAACTAGACCCTACCTTCTGTATTTTTTTCCCCCAGACTGTGCATTTTAATCACCTGCTAAAATAACAACACAATTAAGAAAATTTAACATGAAGGAAAACATACCAATAAACAGCAAGCAGTACTTGCTGGGTTATCAAAATCCATTTAAAAATGTATCTAAATAATCATTTAATCATTCAATCTATATAATCATGTAATCATTTAAATATTATCTATATAACGAGAAGCAGAAAAAGCAGCACAGAATTCCCTGAATAAAGAAAATAAACCAGAAATACAAACTTCCTACTGCCACAGTTTCATTATTTATGTTTATTTCTATTTCATAGTTAATACAATGCAATGGACTGTTAAATGACATTTTTAAAATGTTCACCTCCTGAAAAGTTAATAATACTATATGAACTTTTGCTGTTAATGTGGAAACTTAATGGTAGCTTCTATAGCAGGAAATATATCCCAAGTACAGTCTGGAGCATTAACACTGGCCCACCAACTATAGAAATACTAATCTCTCTCACTGACATGGTAAACATCTAAAAGAAAGATACCTCTTTTCTTGATTACTGATTAGAGGCTAAGGATTGGCTAGAATTATATGGACTCAAATGCTCTGAAAATATTGCTTGGATGCCTATTGTATTAATTCTTAGTGTCAACTGAAAAAAAGGCTTTGTCTTCTTTTACTACGGAATATAGACATTGCCATTAAAAGTGGCCATTATAAAAGGTGGTTATACATTTGCAAATGTAACATGCTGGTGAATTAAAAGTTCTGTAACTTTTCAGATTTTTTCTTTCCTTAAATGTTACTAACATTTATTACATTGAAACAAAAAGGTATTTTTAAATTGACAGTAAGCTACTGCTATTCAGAAGTATTAATTATGCTCTCAGAGAAGCAGCGGAGGCACTAAGTGTTGCAAAGAATCAATTTGAGTGATCATTCCTGAGCTCTGCCAAAGGACACGAGTAACACTAATCAAGACTTGCTTACACTGTCAGCTTTACTAGTATATTTTCATGGTACTTGTGTCACAGCCAAACAATTTCACAATGCAGTCCTTAAGAATGACACGCTATGTAAAACATACACACTACTCTTTGAACTGATGCCCCAAACAAATCATTTTGCAGACTTAACTGAAGGAATTTAGAAGCTCCCTACCCCCAGGGTATAAACGACCTACACAAGTGAGAGGTGACATGTGACAATGTGCAACAAACTCAGCCTCCTTCTGCAAAGAAAAAGGATCAACTTGCTAGTCTTTCTAAACCTACTTACTTACTTTTCATTTAAATGAGGAACAGACAGACCATCAGCTACAGCCTCCCAACAAGGGCAGCAACTACCATATGCAAGAAGAAACTTCTTAAAATGCTCAATTAAATGTCAAGAATATACTTGTCTGTGCCCTGGATTTCTGTCCACAAGAAAATACTGCCACTTGAAAAACGGAGAATTCTTTGATAGCCCTTAATTTTATGTGTAAACTATGAAAAATTTCCAGTGTCAATATGTGAAATGGGATCAGTAACTGCTAACAGTTGCTCTTGACACCTGCATTCGGAAAAAGAATTTTTCTATTTGTTTTTTTTTTAAATACATGTCACCAAATACTAACACTCTTCTTGCCAGATAACAACTGTTAAAAAAAAAAAAAGAAGAGGTTCCCAAGCCAAAGAGGATGAGTAACAGTTCAACAGAAATCAGTAACATTTCAAGAACAAGAAATCAGAATAAGAACTCCTCTACATTATGAAACAGAAGGAACACTGCATAAACACAGTACAGACCTTTCTCTGGTGACTCTACCAAAAATAACCTGGGCAACTGTACAGTATCTCATAGGCAGTGGTGAAAATTTCCTTAACATCAGCAAGTCCTCAGTGAGAACACAGCTACTGAATATACTGAATGTCTTTTTATGCTGTTATTTGAATGGAACTCACATAGACAATATCAGAGAATTTATGTAAAAGACTGATTGAAATGTTAAACTTACAGCTGTGGCAAATTGGGTCTAACAAAGGGATCGTTTTCTGCCCCATTCACAGCTTTATTTTTCCTCTGCTTGGGTTCAGAATTGGCAGATGGTGCCTGAGAATTATTTGTAGTTGGTGGCTTTCGCTTGGCCAGGAGCTTTCTTTGCCTTTCAATGTCTTCCCTTTGTTGATTCACCCATTCTTGCTGCCTGTAAACCCCCCAAAAAAGTGTTATTAGTTTCATTCTTTTGCATTTTAAAATAACTATGTTTTAAGCCTGTGAAGCATTAAGTTTATATTTTCTTAAACAAATATACTGTACATATAAGAACATTTCTTATGAAAAATAACAATATGATTCTTCAAAGTTTTGGAACAATTTCCTTTTGTGTTTTCTTTTTCTTTTTTTCCCCCCTTTTCCAAAGGACTCACATTATTTCTGTACTGAAAAAAATAATACATATCTCAGCTGATGTTGTTTTATACCATCAAAAGAAACGTAACAAAAGCAATAAAGGAATATCTGATTTTCATAGGCCAAATGCTGAACTGGATCTGACCTTTCTTAAGTAAATCATTGGTTTGATTGTGGGGCGAACAATTACAAACCACATACACAGATTTTTTTTAGACAATCTTAACATCTAGGCAACCACACAAAATGTTAAGACAACACAATCCCCTTAAAAAACCAATGTCTTGGTAAATTACATATATAAAGCCACAGACTGACCCAGTCTCATTAACAAAGTACATCTTAAAGATGCACTCCACAATTACCACCATCCCCGACTGTCTCCCAAACTGCTCATTGTTGGCCCCACTTCTACAGAGTGCTGAAATACCTGTTGAAGCAGCAGCTCTTTTCCAGCTGGCCACTTTCTCTCATCCCTTTGGGTTACACTATCTGAGTGTGCCAGATTTGTCTCTCACCTTTCATGGCAACAAGGAGCTGGATGCCTGAAAAAGCTGCTACAAACACGGATGTGCAGAGAGCACCTACGCGACATGACCAGTGAGAGAGTCACAGAACTCATCTGTCCCAATGATCAACACTGATACTTGGTTAGCTGCTTGAAAACATCACTGATATGATTTCACAGCTCTTCCTACAAGCTGAGCTGAATAATCAAAAGCTACTCATTTAGTATATTCACATGTCTGTAAGGATGGCTAAAATCAAATAAAACCAAATCATTTTTCAAGGACATCCAGCCTCAGTGTTCCCTCAGCTGATTAAGGGAGGCTTGTGCTGTACTCTCAGTATTCAAAAGGCAAAGCAACATATAATGTATGAAAAGCTGCTCCAAACTCAGAATCACGGAAATAAAAAAAAATCCACTAGAGGGAACTAAGTGAGAATTTAAGAACGCTGCATTGACTAACTTTACAAGATTCTGAAATGCAAAGCCATCTGTCCACTGTTCAGTAAATGAAGCACCATGACGAACTGTTGTAAAATGCCCCAGGCGTAATCTGTCTTGCATGCTCTTCTCTCTGCTTGCCAGCTTTTCTTGTGTGCTCTAAGAAAACAAAATATATTCATATTTAGTAATACTAAAGTGTTAGTACTAAAATTAAAAAAAAACAAAAAAACCTTTTATTACCTTACTCCTTTTATTCTAACTTCTGCAGAACACAAATATCTGCGCTTGTCAGAATCAGTGCTGCTGATGAGTTTGACTCAGTTTCCCTATAAAGTTCATTTATGTTCATAATTAAAAGAACATTTGTAAATACAGCAGAATCGATAAACTATCAGCATTGGAAGTATATTATGCAAATTATGTTTGTACACATCTATTATAATAAACAAATCTTAGATGCACTAGGAGTGCATCAGCTCCAGTCAGCTTGGATACTGTTACTACTTGAACCAAAGTGACCAGATTCAGGAACCTCTGGGTGGGACTGGACTGCACACAGACGTAAGTCCGATAGATATTAACTTGCAGTAATATGAGCAGGATTATAAGAGAATATTTACTTCCAGATAGAGACCATTAATACAAAGTTTCAGTACAGACTAATCATGAAGTAAAACCTAAAATGAAGGAACTATAATAGAGTTCTACAGCCCTCTAGAGTTTTTATCACAAACATGTTAAAAGTAAGCTTACCTTTTCAATCAGAAGCTTCTTGCTCATTGAAATACATTTGTTTAATCTTTCCTTATATTTTTCAAGTAGCTTTTGTTGTTCATCTATTTGTCTTCTAAGATCACAGTTAGCCTAATAGATACAAGAAATATTAGAAGACACACTGAAACACTTTTTTTTCTTTTTAAATCAGATGCCAGTGAAAATAAAGGCATCTACCTTCAACACATGCATCTTTCACACAGCTGAAGCAGGGAACATACATAAATATACACATATAGTAAGAAAACGTTTATACCATTCCTACAGATTAGAATGGATGTGTAAAAGATGTTTTTCTGTTTTAAAAACAGGAATATACTTGAAATAAAATGCATTCAAGAACATCACTTCCTTTACACCAAATTGCATTCTGTATTAGACAGTATTCAGCTTATATATTTTCTATGTATAAAGATACTGTACTGATATTTTTTTCCAGTCTTCCAGAGCTAAAATGACGTTAATTTAGCTCTCGATCCTTCGTGTTCGATTGCCAAAATAATGCAAAATTCTAATGCTTTTCATATAAAATGAAACTCTTACATTATGGACTTTTAGTGTGAAAAATTTTAATTATCTGAGTAGAAAGTATGCCAAGTTTCCTATGTTGCAGTTATCTTTATCAACTTAGAAAAACACATTATTCTGTTTAATTGATTTTTTTTTTCAGGTTAGCTTTCTACCTCATACTGTTGGACATGAGCTGAACCAGGTACCCACAAAGCCTGCAAGCAGAATTTTATATGTATGGTATCATGGATATATACTTGCACACATACAAACACATATAACAGCCTCTGAGTTGTGAATGGAGTGCTTTTTGTTTCTTTAGTATGCAGTTTATTTCACATTCCAAAATACCACCTTTCCAATCCTACACTCAGGGATATAAGCACTAAGACTCCTTTATCTGAAAATAAGTATTAAAAGAAACAACAGTATAGCACAGGGTAGGTTCTTATTAAAAGTAGTTATCGCCCATGACAGTTTGCTACAACCACCTTCATTCTGAAACTGCAGCTGTCCCACTGATGACTGTTATTCACAATTAAAACAAAACAAAAATCTATTGTGTGAAATTATATTAAGAACATAAGGAATTAACCAAGTGTTTGAAAAACAACATCAGCATTTTGGAAACTCAAGAAGTATAGAAATACGTATTTAGTTATTAACAAGTTGTAATATGGAGAAGAAAAAAGCCTTAAGCATTTATTTTACAGGCTTCTCAGATTTTCAGGAAAAAATAAAAAGAACACTTTTCAACTTTTTATTCATGTAATTCCAGGGTAACATTGAAAAACATTGATTATTCAAGCATTTAAAATATTTGCTGAGGATCCATTGCCTTTTTTTCTAAATAGTTTTACCACAGATCTTACACTTACCCTGAGTAAGTCATCTATACGACCTTCTTTCTTTTCCAAGTCTTGATTTTTATTACTTTCTAGTGCAGCTAATTTCAGCATTGTGAGATCAGTCTGAAAAGAACATTTTAAAGTATTTAATACTTTTCTTTAATAATTACAGCATTATTTTTGTCATGTTTGTTACAAAGGGAAATCAACTTGTACCAGCAGCACATATTACTTCCATGTATTTTGGTAGTGACACGGAAGTTTCATATTCAAAACTGTTCTTTCCCTTCATTAGGAAGAGCTAGGAACAGCTGGAACAAATCACTAACAAGATGAGAAGACTTCAACACTCATGGACAAGTTCCCAAGTAAGAATATAAAGCAAGGCAAGAACATAGATGGCAACACCGAGGGCTGCTCCAAAAGTAATGCTCCTGTTTTAGTATACTGGTCCATGACATCAGAGACACATGGTGCTACAGTAGAGGTTGAACCTTCTCAACAGTAGTCTTTTACATTCTGTTGCCATGTGACAGACTGTAGCAGAAGGACACTTTGGCAAAATGGCATAAGACATGGAACTGTGTATGAAATAAAAATGTATCACTGAATTTCATCGTGCAGAAAAAAAATCACATCTGTTAACATTCACTGACACTTCTGGAACATTTATGGAGACCAACAGTAGATGCGAGCACAGTGAAGCAGTGGCTGGTACATTTCATCAGTTCAGACAGTGATGGGAAAGACAAGCCATGTTCTAGACTATCATGCAAATTTTTATGAGCACGACATACAAGCTGTTGTTCATAGCTGACAAAAATGCAGAGCTAACGGTGCTGACCATGTTGACAAATAGTGTTTGGTAGCTGAGAATTCACTCTACTATGGAGTGTTATTTTTCTCTTTGTAGCTGTTGTAATTTCCATGGAAATAAATAGGAGGCATTACTTTCTCGGTGACATACACAACTACTTTAAATCCTGTGTATCTGTCAACAGCCAAGGTAATCTTGTTCTAAGTAACTCGTGAAAAGAAGAACAAATTGCATTAGAAATGGCAGAGATGATGAAACGTGCCATTGGCTTTTAATGCCATGACAGGAACTATACTGCATTTTGACTATCATCTCACTTTTTTTTCTGTTTTGTTTAAGTAGTTATATGACAACAGCAGCTGCCATCTCAAGTATTATCTGAAAGAGAAGTCTCTCCTTCTAAGCTCACACAACAGTTAAAATCTTTTGCAGAAGCATACCAAGCACATTGTCTAACTGCTCACAAAGCACAAAATTGGAAGCAGAGTGCAAAACACAAAACTAATTCAAGAGACTGCAATTATGAGCTGCTGAACTTAAAAACAAAAGTTCTTTTGAAGACTAAAAAGCAAAGCTTCTGAAATCCTTTAAGAGTTTAATAGTTGGAAACCCAAGAAATAACACATCTACCAGTTTTTCCTACAGTTTGAATTTATATGCTGAAAAGCGCTTACCTGAGTAATTTTAAAAGATAACTGCTTTGGTTGCGTGGTAGGGTGGTCCCCAAAAGCTAATGAAGTAGGAGAAGGACTATTCTGTCGAACCTGGAATGCATGAAAACAAAGAATTTTAGATGTAACTGTAATATTCAATTATGAACATAATCTTGTTTACAATTCTTGGCAGGATAACGATACAGAACATAGAAATACAGTGTCCTAAATACACAAGGTACTATATGGTACACTGCATTGAGAATTATCACTATGCTGTCATACATAACTTGTATTCCAGAAAGGATGCAATATATACTCTAAGAAAACTAGGGCTGTCACTCCTGGGAAACAGATGGAAAGATTTAAGACAATACAAGACTGACACAAGGCAATGCCTGTCTTATAAAGACTTATTTTTCTGATTCTAAGATTTTGCAACTCAAAAAATAATGTGAGTTATTTTTGGAGAGTTTATTTCCCATGGGATAACTTGAAAGGGGAAGCTAGTGCTGATCAGAACACAAATTGTGTTACTGAAACTTCCCAGAAACACTGATTTGTGTGTTAGGTATTGCAGTCCATAAATTTCATTCAAGCCCTTATGTGAGGGCCAGAAAACGCTTAGCTTTAGTGCTGACTTGTGAAAGGCTTGATTTTCTCCTAATAAAAACCCAAACAGTAAATGAAGGGGGCTCAGCTGGGTGAACTTGGGACAGAAGAGTCCCCAAAAATGGGGCTAAGCTTCTCCAGACTGGGCTTCATCCAAAGGATGATGGGTTTGGTGGATATTGTGATGTTATAGCGGGCATGGGGGTGATATGTTGATGACTGGACTTCAGGATGGTTGGACTTACAGGTCTTTTCCAATCTTAACAATTCAATGAGACAGTATATTCAAGCCAACTTCCACAATCTTTATTACCCTCCATATAGTTAGCAATATGTTTGAAAGTACACGGAGTGAAATTTATGTCCACCATCACAAAAAATAAATCATTTCTGCACTAGCAGAATCTATGTGGCCATTAAGAATCACATGTGTATACCTAACACAAAAATGAGCACGAGGGGAAAAAAATGAATTTGTGACTAAGAAAAACATTTAATAACAGGCAAATTATTGTTAAAAACTTAAGATTTATCAAAAGCTTAGCTTTCAAGTCCTGCATAAGGGGTTCACCTTCCCTGAAAGTGATAAAACACCTACTTATTTTGTGCAAAGGTTTCGAATAAACACCAAAAGAACATTTTAACATGTATAGGTCATTTCACATTGCTTTGTGCTCAAAAATCGTTTTATAAAAAAACCCAACGCAACAGTGTTAAGAATTTACTTGTAGAAAATTTTAGTTTTAAACATTCAACTTGATCCTTTTTTTCCCCCATGCTGTTTAAAAATGAATTCCTTCCTAGCATTCCTTCCTTTGAAAAAGTAGAAAAATAGCTGCATAAAGATATTTTTAAGCCATGCTACTTTTAGAGAAGGAAACTCCAGCAGCCACGAAGTTCACAAACTTACAGAAGAAGGGGCGGAATGTGAATTCTGAGGAGATCGGATTGCAGGAGGTACACCTCGAACTGGACTAGAGCCGTTGCCACCTTGGTACTGAAGAGAAGATATGACCCTCAAATTATTCAACCTCTTTAATTAAAATATATCATACAAACACTGAATGACACAGCTCATCTGTACAATGAATACATAATCTAGATTGTATTATTTGGATTACTGAAGCCCTGTGTCACTTGAAGAAAAGTGCAGAAGAAACTATTTTCTGTCTTTCAGATCAGGCTGCACCAAGAAACTGAATCTCTACTTCAAGGTTTAGCACCTAAACTTACATTGAAAATTTTAAAAAAGTATATCATATGAAGAAAGGCTGTACTTTATTCTAATTAGTATTTTCATACACAACTGTAAGAAGGGTAGCCTACTAAAAACAAAGCAAGGCTATGTTGTCACTGCAGAATTTGACAACTAAGGAGTTCACAAGTACACCTAAAATTGCTTGTAGAAAAAAAAAAAAGAAAAAAAAAAAAAGGTAAATTTAAAGACAAAACCATTACCTCAAAATAGTCACTAATCTTGTGGCCACGTCCCCCGATACTCTTTCCTGAAATAAATACATTATAATAGATTAAATAGATTACTTATAGATGTGTTACATTTTTACCTGTACAATAATTATTGCAAAATCTTAACACTTGTTAGTTGGTTTTCTTTGATGTGATAATACGTGACCTCCCACCGTTAGATTATTAAGGGATTGGTTACAACAACAAAATCTGCATGTTCCTTCCATTCAGAAATCAGAAATCAACCCATACTTCTAAATCAGATTCAGTTCACGCTTAGCAGTAAGAAAGACCTCTTCTAGATAACAGGAAGCACATCCTTCGTCCTGTAGATGAAACCTTTAGCAGCATCTCCCTTTTACAAGCGTTATCTCCAAATTCACCCACATCTGAAATACCAAATTAACCCATTAATATTATATGCTCCAAGTGAGTTATTCTGCCCAGACGTTCAGCCCAAGGACTTCTCTAAATGCCAGTTAACACTGTGGGTGTGGAAGATGATGAGTACTTCCATTCCTCCCAGCGTAATAATCAGATTTCAAGTCACAGCCTCCACTACAGAGATAAATAGATCAGAACAAGACAACAGAATTTCTTTTATTTTAACCAGTAATAAGACAAGAGCACCAACTTGAATTCACCTTTCTTTGACAATCCATATGCAGCATTCCAAAAACTTCACCAATGCCTTATCAAATGACATATATATTCTATTCAGCTTTAAGACAATGTGGACCACTGCTCTACACTTCAAAACCTCTTCACAGGAATAAATTTTTGTAATAAGTTAGGAGATTATTCCCACTAATCTTTCTGCCATTTTCAGCAAAGCCTTTCAAGCTTTCCTATTGCTTCAACTCTCAAGAACTCTTTGTAGTCAAGCATGTCTCTTTACTGGGATTGCTGCATAGTACTCTGTCACCAACACTCTCATGAAGAAAAAGAGATATATGGCAGTCCTCTGTGTGTCAAAGACTTTTAAAAGAAATATTCAGATAACTGAAAGACCTAGAATAGCACACAGATAATTCCTCCAGTACTTACCCCATTTGTACATCACTACTACTGCCCTCCAGCCAGGTCTTTACATACCATGTGATTCTGTTAGATTTGTCTTTTTTGTGCTTGATTCCCACATCTCACTTTATCAAATTAAATCAGTTTTCATCCAGGTAAATTAGAAAGGCTTTTCTTTTAAATAGAAATTTCTATTCCACATCATGTTATGTACTCTGCACAGATGGACTGACAACATCAACTTATTTTGGCAGTGAATTAGAAGTAGATTCACACTGTTTTGATCCCACTTTCTAATTAATTAGCTCCATGTCCTAAAAATTTTTCAGTCCAACCTTTCTGGATGATTTTGCTATGGTAGACAAAATCCTAGGTATGTTGTATACAACAGCTGCATCCCTTGCTCCTCATTTTCCAAAGCAGTATTTGATGTGCTTCAACTATACAGCTCCACTACACTCCTGTTTTCTACACTTGTTCCTACAGAATATTGCAGTGCAGACTATTCAGTTTACTGCTACTGACAGTAAAACATTAATTATTAGACATTATAATCATGTTGTGTATGCCAAAAAGTTCTTAACTATCTTTATCTTAACTAATCTTTATCTTAACTAATCTTTATTTTCTCTAACTGCAACTCTGTCTTGTAGTAGGAAGGACAAGCTACCAGACCAACGAAAATAGGAAACTTCACTGAAGCTCTCTGAACAAACCAGGTCTCTTGAGTAAGACAAAGAAAGCCATTCTAGTGAAACCATATAAAACTTCAAGTAGTAGTATGTTGTATCACAAAGACCTCTGGATATGGAGCCTACTGACAGCATCTGAAGTGGCATTTCTTAGCTTAGAAACAAAAAGAATCTAAAGGAGATGTCAATAAAACTGGTTTCTCTTCCCTTTTGATGAATTTTTGCCTTGAAATTTCTATTTCCTCCCTCAAAAAGTCACATTAAAGAGAGAAACAAAAAAAACAAAAACAAAAACAAAACAAGCTTTGTAAACATTCAATTGAAAGTCTGTCTCACCCCGAGCCTCCCACAGCTCTAGAGCACTACGCTGTATCCACAGTAAGAAAGTATGAAATTCAATTATTTTTAAATATACATGTAAAAAACAAGCACTCAGATATCATAACCAGTAATCCACTTTTCCCCTTACCTACTGAAAAGAAATACAAAACACGAAAGTACTGCTAGTTTTTAAACAGTACACAGAATGCCAACGCTGCTGCAAGTTATGCGGAGAGCAATGCACAACTCTTATGGTCAAGTACAAACACAGCCCAAGTTTAATTGCCCATCCCTTTGACTGATGGATAAATTTGAGGTAGGGTGAAAAGATTTATGTTTGTCATCCCAAACCCAAGACCTGTCTTACAAGCAATGCTACAGAATTTTTAAGCCTGGCAAACGTCAAAAATTTGTGCATTATCATTTAATCAAATGTATATAATAACCATATAATTCATTTACAGTTTACCTTGGCTGCTTTCACTCTGAGTATCTGCTTTTCTTTTTCTTCCTCTGGAAGGTTCTGACTGTTTCTTCTCTGGAGTCTATGAAGAACAGAAAGAACGTGATCCAGCAACAGCTCTATTTCACTTCTATCACAGCTACAGTACTGTGAAATAAGGTGGAATTTTCATTCATAAACTAAGACTTCACAAATCAACAGGAATGCTGTTATTTCAGATCTTAGTTGAAGTAGATAACGACTCTTGGTCAATCAAACAAATATGAACTAGAATAGATACTGAAGGAAGTAAGAAATAATTCTTAAATATCTGTCCAAAAGGCAATTATGTATATTAATTGTAAAGCCATTATACCTTTTCATCTGCTTTGGGGTTTATGAACATCCAAATTTATTTGGCCCAGGCTGCATTTCACTCAAGAAATCTTCAGGTTATAGATCTGGTATTTCACAACCTCTTTTATCATTAACGAAATAATCTGACTTTTGATTGAGCTTACTACACACTGCCCCAGAATAAATACAGAATTTTAGTGCTTCAGTATGATGACAATAATGTTCCTAATATGTAAGTATAGAAGTCATCTCTAAGCTAATGTAATTTATAGATTTCTAGATTTAGAAAGTTTTTTAAAAGCTCAAAATGTGAACATCTACCCATTCCACCCTCAGTTTCTCCGTATCTCAAATAAAGTCAAATAAAAACATTAATCATAGGTGAAAAAGTATGGACTTAATCAATTTTTTTTCAGGAATATTATAAATCACTGCACTCTCTGATTGTCATTTCTGGGCAACATTGATAACAAGAAAGAGTTTTGATCAGAAGCTCCTTTAAGTTTTATTTGTTCTCCTCTGAACTGAGCATTCAAAACAGATAGTCCCCTTAATGTAAGCTACATTGTACAAGCTACCTTGGTTCAAGGCAAACATGCTGCTTCTGTGCACTTAGTCTGCAAGGGACCTCATGCCAGTTACAAGAGAAATCACAGAAGCAATTACATGAACTCTATTTTACAGTCAAATAATGAGTGGTCCCTAATATCTTGGACTAAACATGACATAGGTAAGAAGATGCTTCATTCTTTTATGATACCAATGCCTTAACCATTTGACCAAGTTTGTCAGTTTGTCTTCAAAGGATTCTTTTTTTCAATACAGTAAATGTAATGATAATTCAAATTTCAACTGATCATTGAAAGAACTTTAAATACATCTTAGTTCCAAAAACTTCACATGGATACCTTCGAACATAAATTTTTTACAAAAATCTGAGAATTTTTATTTTGGCAAAGAGGCTACTTGTGATCTACAGAAAATCAGAAGGGGAAAGCCAGGACAATAAAGCTCAAACTTCCTTAATTTATACTACATATTTATATTACAAATATTTATACAACATACTGTTACAACTGTAACTGTTTTACTAACAGGCTACAAACGTAGTTAAATGTACATATATTTATTAAATATTATTTTAAATTAATTCTTCCAACTACAATGCGTATGCTTTACAATCCTACTGTACACTAGCTGACTGTACAGCGTAGACTCCTGAAAACAAGGTTAGCTAAAAACTACATGATTCTCACGGCAGAACATGTGGCTTAGATACACTATTTTTATCATTTGCAATATAAATTGTAATTGTATAAATTACATAAATATAAATCACATAAATTGTTAACATTAAGCTATCTCTCCACATAACTGAACTGAATCTATTTAGCCAATCACTTTCATCCTATTCCTTACTTACCTACTTTTAATTTTGCAAATATCCTTCTAATGTAGTTTTACCTACCTTATCGAGCCAAAAACTCCCCAAACCTTGTCTGCAAGCTAATTCATGCTTAACCGTTTAAAATTCTCACCCAAGAAACTTAGTTTCCAAATGCAGTGACTCATGCATTCCACTCGAAGACATTCAAAGAGGTTTATAGTTTTAAAACTAAAATAATCCAAAAGTAAACACCTATTTCATCAAGCTTTTCTGATTTCTTCTATTATCTGATTTAACTTTCTGAGCCAAAAACACTAATGATTTTACCCAGCAAGGTCACACTCACCTTTTCTAAGAACAATATTCACATGGCAGTGTACAATATTCAGACACTAGCAAATGTTCTCCAAAATCCTTTCTAATGAATGAAACCACAGGAATTAAAAGAAGCTGAAGACTAATGGGGCTGAGGAGTAGCCTCCTAGTAAAGACTGAAGCTGCTCTGAGACACTTCAGAAGGATGTACCTACAGCCAAGATTTAGATTAAAATCCCGTTATTTCATAAGCGACATGAAACAGTTCTGAAGTTATCCAAAGTTACCTTTTAAAACTATGTTAAAGTCACCTAGAGCTTGGCATACCAGCAGAACTCTGCACATCACAACCTTGATCCTAGTTTACTTTTTAATTTTAATGAGGTTCCTCTGAGCCTTCTCCTCATACTCATAGTTTTAATTCCTGGATTTTAACATACTCTTTAATGAAATAAACATTTGTAAGTACCAACTCTCAACTAATTAATCTCCTTTTAACGATACTCAGATAAATATTTCTATATACTTTATGTGCAGCTAAACATTTTCTACCATTATTGCAGAACTGTTAACAATAGAACTCAGGAAGTAATTTTTGTAGGGAAAAAAAAAAAGTAATAAAATGAATTTTGTTTTGTCTCAGCACTTAAACCTCCAGTATGCTTTCTTGGCTGTTAATGTTTTTCATTTGCACAATGAATGAGTTGATAGTTTTGCATAAGTGCTTTTCTCTAAATCCTATCCCTTCCAAAGCTTTACAGCTACAGCAAACAAATACAGCGACGCTGTTTTCCTCAGCAGCGCATTATAAATTCCAATTAGATCAAACCTTCAGTTACTTCTGAAATTACATTTATAATGAGGGTTTTGTATTAATGGGAACTGAAGCAACTCAACAGCTACAAGCAAGCAGAGCAAAACATTTAAGTAGCTAATCAAACTGGACAAATCAAGCCACAGACAAAGCTTTTCTCCTTTAAATAATTCATTATCCACAGAGAATAGAAAATACTAGTTGTAATTAAAAGAATATATTTGTAACCAAAACAAGGAGGAGTAATCCACTTGAACAAGGGATGGTGGAAGAAGGCCAAAATACTGAAAACCTATCAGAAGCACCTATTCACAGACTGAGGTAGCCAATTTAGCTTAACTACAAGCAGCTAATACGTACTCAAATTATGCTCCACAGTAATAAAACATTTCATAAAATAGTAACAACATATAAGCTTAAAAAGAAGCTGAAACACAGGTCTAGATATTAAGTTCAAATTGCCAGTTAACATTTATTGCTTGCAATGCTTGTTTCAAGTTATTCTGCAGATCCAAGTTTAATTTGTAAAGTATCTCTTCAAACTATTATTCAATTATGCTGCCCTTTTCTTGGAGCATCTGGCAGAGAAAAAAAAAAGACTACAATTCTTATAGTTGTATTTGCTGAGATGCACTGTGAAAGCAAAAATGAAATATTAAATAAAAAACAAAAATGGTTTTGGGGGAAGCTTGCCCTGTTTTGAAAACTAAGTGAGAATGACATTTTTTTCTTCCTAATTTAGCAATGAAAAACCCAGTATGATTAATGCACCACTACAATGTGCTAAGAAACTGAGATTGTTGCTACAAATCCATTTCAGTGATTTTGAGAACTGCGTTCCTACTCTTTTTTTCTTTTGATACCTGCTTACCAAACAGCAGCTTTTTCTCACAACATCAAAATATGCTGCTGCTTTCCTTATAAATAAGTCTTTGCACTTCTATTCTACATTCTACTACAGAAATTCTCTATTATGAAAATTTAAATGTCAAACTATTAGAAAAAAAAAAAGAGAGAGAGAAAGAGAGAAAGATCTTGTTTCTAGTACTATGATTTAAAGTGTACTTCCTGTAAGATTACAGCATATAAGAAACCAGATAATATTTTAAGAACTAAACTCTGAAAACATATTAACATACTTGGCATTACAATTATAATTTAATTTCAGTGAATACAACTGCCAACTTCTGAAAATGGGTCAAGCAACCATATTTCATTATTCAATGTCATTAAGATTGAACTTTCAGAAAACAGAAGAAACCTGGAACACTGAATTGCTCTGTGTAGGGACCATTTAAAAAATGGAAGCATTTCTATTCTAGAATCCAAGTAGTAGAATATATACATTATCCCCATCCAGAAACATGGCTTGAGGTTAAAACATGTGCAGAGACTGAAGAAGTGGAGCGAACTATCAGATTTACATGCCTTAGAAAAACAATCCTGCTTCTGCATCTCATGTGTCCAAGTGTAACATGACATTCTTCTACACCAAATATTGCAGGCATATTTTCAAAGACACAGTTAAACATTAATCAACATTTGTGTTGATGAAAGCCTTACTGTTTATCAGAAAAAAGTTAGGAAATTATTTAAACATTTTCAACTGTTTTTCCTCATGGCATGACTACATAGGTAATATCTATAGTCCGGAAGAATATGAAGAAAGACAGTAAATAAAAGCTAGTCTCATGACCAGAAAAACCCCAAAGAATGGGACATAGTAATGCATGCTTTCTGTTATTTAGCTTTTTTGTATTTTGCTTTAAAAGCTCCTACATAAAGCAAAGCAGAGTAGAAAATAAATTATGACATGCTAGCATTAAAGCTTTGAGGTATTAATGAATCTGCCTAGCATACTTACCTCTGATTCTTTATCACTTAAAGATCCCAAGCTTCCAAAACTGTGGTTCGAACTTTCATTATTTGTTGAGGCCTAGCAAGACAAATACAACAGTTATGTATTACGAACAGATTTGTTAAGTACCTCACTGTTGTTAAGTATTACATATAAATAGTAGGGCATTACTATCACAGTTGTAACTATTAACAGGGATCAAATTTTATGCCGATGAACTATGGAGTCCCTGTGATTTGCAATGGGGATAAGAAATTTGACAGTTATGTGTTTTGATGTAGTGCAATCAATTCTGTATTTTAATTTCTTCTGAGACAAGTAAAGCCTTGGAACATTCAAAATCTTATTTGCGAATAGCAAAAGATCCAAGGAAGAGCCTTATAAGGTGATTCTACAGAATGGACTTATACATTCTATATTGCTCAAAGTGTTAGAGACTTAACAATTTTCAAAAGAGGCTCTAATTTTCTCTTAAGTCAGACACTAGGCTATTGCAATTGTTTTTAAAATTCATTCAACAAAAGAAAAGAACAACTTATTGACAATATTACTCTATATTCTTACAACAAATCACATCCCCCAGAACAACAAATTCAGACTACTGGAGAGGAAAAAAAAAAAAAAGAAGAAAAAAAAGGAAACTCTAATAGTTTCAAATTATAATATTTCTATAGAAATGTTCCACAGCTGATTTTTTCAGAGATCTTTTGAACAGAGAGTGGCAACAAGGACATTTTATTGAAAGAGTCTGCTCCATTCACACAAGAAGTGTTAACATGAGGTTTGCTTTTTGTTTTTTTTTTTTGGTTTAATTAAAAGAAAAATGTTGTACTGCTGAATTATTCTCTTCTCCAATAGAAAGGCAGAACAAACACTCTGAAGTAAAGCAACAACTTAAGGCAAATACTTGCTTCAAAGCATTCAATTCCAGCATTGCATCAGCTTACAATACAGATCTGTGACATCTCCTGGAATAACTAGATCACGTCTGAATTAAGATTTCCGGAGAAATGCAATTAAACCCACAAAATTTCAACGTGCGTTTTCCCCCAAAATAGTTTCTGGTTTAAAAATGCCTTGTGCCTTGTGATTCTTCAGAAGGTCGTCATCAGGGTCAGAACAATAATCTCAGTAATCTACACTCATGTATTCACTACTGCTTACTGAAAAAGCCTGAAGATGCTGGACTTTACCTCCTCCACAGCTGAAGAACAATTCAGCATATAGGCCTTCCAAATAATAATCTCAATAAACAAGACTCCATCTCAATTTAATTACTAGAAGAATAAAGTCCTAGCATGTTTTCGAAAAATAATCTGCATGCATCTGTGTGCTGCAGCCTCTGCACTGTCTTGCTAGATTATGAAAATGAGAATTCAGTGAGTGGAATCAGGTATGTATGTGAAGAGGAGGTGTTCTCATTTTTGCCTTCCAAGTACATCTCCTTCTTCCAGTTACCTCTGGGCATCAGATCAAAAAGCTTGTGTCATTTTTTAAATAAAAATCAGATAAGCTTCTCATAATGTCCACCAACAAGACTACAGACTATATAAAAAAATAAATTAAAAAAAAAATTAAAATTCCAAGCAGCCCAGATGCACTGAGTGGTAAGAAATGAGTTCAAGATATAAAAGAAAAACCAACAAAACTGACAGAATTGCCACTTCACTAATGGTGGGATAAACTGCAGTTGATATTGGTATTCCCCTCCATATTCCCATAAGCAGGGAAAGAAACATATATTGCAAGGTGCATTGCAGATCATTTGTAGAGTATATCTGGTCAAAATTAAGAACAAAATCTGCTAGGTGAAGATCTGTATCCATCTAAAAACTACAGTGATAGTGGTATCTTTCACAAGCAACTATCAAAGCATTTAGTAGTATTAAAAAACTTTATCTAGCTATCCATTTGCAAAACAATTGGATGAGATTCATCTATCTTTTCAGATAGTTCTAGGACTGCACCAAGGACTAGAAATTTGTGTTTCATATAGTAGAGAGAAAAAGGAAATTAGCTGGCTTTTTTTTTGTTCTTGCTGGTTTTGGCTTTTTTTTGCTGTTGTTGCTTTTCCCTAGCTAACGACCTCAGAAAGTGGAACGTAATTTAGGTAAAAATGAAATCAGTTGAACAACAAGCAACTAAAAAAAGTCTTGGAGAGATTTATTGGATTGATGAGAAGCAACTCACAGGGAGTTAAGTTTAAAGAAAGAGAACCCCAAGAAACTTGATAATTGATTTCAAATAAAATGCATTAAACACAGTAGTAGACAGATTCTGAGGAAGAAAGACTGACAATACTACAATGAACCAAAAAAAGCTGTATAAAAAATAATAGAAGAAAAATTACATGAACTCAAAAGAAGGGAGAGCTAGTCATTAAAAAGGACAAAAAGTCATCTGAATTTTAAGTAATTACTTGAGCAATTATAATGAGTTAATAAATTAGGAAGTAAGTTGTTACAGGAAAGTAACAAAAATGAACCAGAATTACTGACTTTTCCCTCAATCTTCTTCTAATTATAAGAGTAAAGCATACATCTTTTGTAGGCACACTTCAAAAACAATAAGAAGAGAAGACAGCAGTGCATCAGTTACATTGTACCAATTCAATCTGATTTCTTTCATCAACCTCTGCTATCAGGTAGTATTCTGCTGTGTAATACAGACTGGTAATAAAAATATCAAACATTAAAGGGAAAGTGCTAATAAAGCTTGCACAGAAATTTTAAAATAAAAGAGCATTACATAGAGCTTGGAAATAGAATTCCCAAATATTTTAGCAATGAGTGAAATTAGATTAAGAATTAGTAAAGATGTTAAAAAATTACTAAATTTATTTGGTGAAGTACTTCCAAATACTCAAAACCAAAATGGAGTATCATCTAGGCAACAGTACTGCAGAAATTAGTCTTGGAAACTGAAATAAACTTGAATGGGATTTGTAATAAAAGCAAACTTATTTGGTAAATATATTAACTAAAGGTTAATATACAATATATAGAAGGTAATTAAGCCATAGTAGTTGATGTTCATAAGGTCTTCCCTGAACTGCTGCATCTTGATTTTGATACTAGAGGACAGACTGCACAAATTCTACAATCAAAATACATAAAATTGATGTAGGTGTCTCGAAAAGTTGAAATAATTGGGTTTTGCTAATACAGATAAAAAATCTTCAAACAAGAAAACAATTAATTTTGAAAACAGAAGTCCGTGTGTCTATCTCAAGCATTAGTTAAGTAGTTGGCTATCTACAGAAGGAGTAGCTCCTTTTAAATACTGGGAATAACTTTCAGTGCTGATCACATGAACACGAGAACAAAACCACAAAAGAGCCTGTATAATACTATACTTCAGGGTTTTTAAGAACAATCAAACATGTGAATGGTTCAGGATAAAGAAGACTATCTCGAATCAAAGTAAGTGACTAATAATAATTTTCTTGAGACTCTCTCCCATTCCAATCCTTTACCAGTAAATAGCACAGGCAATGTAAAAGAGACAATACAAAATACTGTTTCAAAAATGGAAGATCTGGATAACTGTTCTTAGTACTTACTTTAGCTCCAACACTGCAACTTCCAGTACTCCCAGTGCTGCCACTTACTACTCCTGTAAATCTTGCCTCTAACAATTCTTGTCTTCTTGGGTCCAGGCTATGAAGCTCATCCATTGCTCCTAAACAAATAAATAAATAAATTCATTATATTCTCTAAATTACAGTAGAATATTTTACAAGTAAACCAAATATGCCACTGATCTACACACACACACAAAAAAAAGAAAAATCTGTACTCTCAAACTGTCAACATTTCACCATCTGTTATTTAATAACAAATTAACACTAATTCTAGAAATTTTGTGGAAACTTCCCTGTATCAGAATACCCCTGTCAGTTCTAGAGAAAACTAAAATCTATTAGAGGCACATAAGAGTCATGGAGCCTACAGTGTATGATACACGAACCAGTTGATTATTAATAGATGAAAAAACAAGCAATGGGAGCAAAACACTCTTCAGCATAAAACCTTCAATTCAGCAAGGCTCTTGTTCTCAGTATTATTTCAATTATTTAGGATATCAACATATTGATATGCTAGACAAGTAAAAATCATAGGAAAAATGAAAATGAGGTCACGGGCTATAGTAACCATCATGTAAAAGGGAATACAGTGTTACTGGAAGGGCAAGGAATCAAGAAACAGGATCAGCTATATGAAAGGAGCCAGGAGTAGCAGAGTCCTTTGCACAGGTGGTGCCTCCTACAGACAGGGGGTAAAGCAACGCCCCTGGCATCAGCAGAAGAAAGAAGGTGGAGGGGAATGGATGAACAAAAGGAGTTTCTGATGCACCCAGATGAGCTCAGCAGTTCAGCTACAATAGTAGACTGCAGTCTGATGTGTAGCCTTCTTATTTGTATTTAAATCACTTACGACTCTTTAATCAGTCTCAAAGATCATCTAGACAAACACCCTTCTGTATTTAAACAAACTGTGTTCTTTGTTTTTATCTCTTCAACTACTCGAACATTCAATTTATCTCCAAATTGGAAACAGTTCAGTTGCTTTATCTTAAATAAGTTATTTAATACCAAAGTCCTTATGCACTATTTAAAAGACATATCCCTCAAGCACCATGCAAAATGATACAGCCTCATTTTTTCAACTAAGATACAGCTTATCAAGCTTGTACTTTTCAGTCACACAGGACAACATACATTGTCAGAAAAGTAGTTCTGTAAGGACAGGAAGTAATATTGAGGTATATTCCAGTGATACTACTAAAAAAAAAAGGTTTGAATTTTCTTTTCATGAAAACTAGTTTGCAACATTTGAGTGTCTGTATGGACTTTCACCAAGTCTCTTTCGCCAAGTATCCTGACAAGCAAGGCATCAGCAGAGCTCTACTCACTGCTAACAGAACACAAGAGGCAGATTATTACGACTCCTGGCTATCTCAGCAACCTTTGGCATTCAAAAACCAGATAGACCTACCACCCTCTACACACTGGCTACCGCAAGCCATGCAGCTCAGCCTCCTGGCATGGAAAGTCCTGCCTCAGTCACTCTGTTAATTCAAGCTGCTTGAGTCTTAGCAGCAGTGTGTGCCTTGCTCCAGTGGGAAGGCCAGTGGCAGGAATGAGGGTACCAGCACTTCTTCACACCAGGCAAAGAACAGTCAGAAAGGAGACATGTGGAAAACATGCTGGTAGAATCTTCCTTTGACAACCAAGGCACAAGTGGCTGGCACAGCACGCCAGGTTCTGGTTCGTGAAGTGGGGAGCCCCATAGGGAGCTGGAGGCCTTTTCCAACACTGCAAGAATGCAGGACTGGTTTCAAATTGCAGTTGGCTTATCATCTGCAGTCATAACACTGCTCCTGAAATGGGCCAGTAGAAGTTCCTCTAATTTCCATGTGTTTTAGACTAAACTCTCAGGGGAAACGATTGCCTTACTATGTGCACACACGGTGCCAAACATTCAGGAATACTCTTTAAAATTCTTGCTTTCCATAATCTTCTTGTGCACTGCTTCCAATGTTTTCAGAAACAAAGTGCACACTTCCTCGTTTACACAAAAATACTCCTCAAATTTACACACTGGGCAATTAGGCCTTTCTTGAAGCAGATCTATACAACATATCCTTGCTACCACGTACATTATATATACCTCGATGGGGAAGTACTCTTTAGTAAGAGCGTAAGAAACTGAACAAGTTCAAGTGGCCATTGTCTCACTTCGTAACAGTAGAAGTGTTCAAGTGTTGGCCATTCTGAAACAATCAATTTTAGCATGAAGCAACCCACTTACTGAAGTAGGACTAGCGATACTCAATATTCCTACTTGCTAACCACTGCCCATAACAGTTCAGAGCTTACCTAAATTTACCAATGTAAGTCGAGCATACCACACGCATACTGCAGAAAAAGATACTACAATACCCAGTATTGCTTATTTTAGGAAACATGGGGAAGCAAGAATCCCTATGGATAGTTAAGGCTCACTGGAAATGGTACAGGGTACAACTGGTACACAGGTTTTGGTATCGGTTTATTTATTATGTGCCTAAATACTACTGCACTGAAGAGATCAACACTCCTGGGCCACTCTACCCATTAGGAGAGTAATTGAGTGGGCAGGTGGGTATTTCACCACACAGATGAAGTATGACTTTTCATTTTTTTCTGTTCCATTTTTGAAGTCCACACATGCTAATGAATGCACTATATTCACTTCATTATCACTGCTGCAGTTTCGCTTTTTTTTCGCAGCTGTTTTTTCAAGAAAATAATGTTCTCTGTATTTCTTCAGCTCACAGCCCTAGTGTATGGGAACCATTGAGTCACCGCCTGAAGCACTGATTGAGCACCTGGGGAAAGGACCTGGTCAGGCCAGGGAGCACAAGGGAAGGCAATTCAGCTGTGTGACCAGAAGGGGTGGAGCCTGGCTGCACTTCTCTTAGACCTCTTAAGGGCTGACTGCCACTAGGAAAGGATTTCTTTCTGGAGGTCCCTCCGTGTTAGAGCTTTCCCCTACAAATCTAGAATCTTCTGATACAGGTAAGCAATCTTTTCCCCTTCCCTTATAGCACCTTGCTATCATGCTGCCCCTTCTGTCGTTACACCTCTGGTGAAACACCTTTTTCCATCATATTGATCTGTCCAATTGCTACACCAAGGCTCCTGCTTTTAAAGGCAACTTCAGAGTGCTAACGGTGCAGGACAAAGACTACTTTTTTTTTTTTTTTTTAAATAAACATCAGATTTTATAAATTCAACTGCTGTTCACAAGATAAACTAAATTTACAGTTTTAAAAATACACTCCGACTAGCTGAGCTAGTTTCATTCCTATTACAGAAATTCAATTCACCAATTCAAAGGACATGCAATCACATCATAGAAGTGCTTCACTGAGGCACATTTATGATGCTAAATGAAGAAATGGCACTGCTACAAACGTTGCCGTTTAGGCATCCACTACCTTTCACAGAAAATGTCTCTGAGATTACCCGATCCTCACTATGAGCTCTAAAAACTTACTTTTCTTGTAACCACTCTATAAAGCCTCTTTTTTTCATTTTGAAAAATTAAAATAACCAACACTACATAGCTGCTGTATTTTCTTTTATTTTGGGGGGGGTGGCAGAACCTTCTGAGTTTATCTTTCAGAACTGCACACAGTCTCTAACACAGAAGTCCCAGCACGTTATCCTGCAAAGGATGCAGGAGTGAAACTTCTGAGAATTTGTTTTACAAGGGGTTATATAAAAAGTTCTAAATTCAGAGAAATAACTTACAAGGTTTTTCTCAGGGCATTCAGTATCCTCAGTCGTACTGTATTTCTACCTTATCAAAACAGGTGTGTAAGGACCTGTGGAGAGAATTCTCCACAGTCATTTGAATTGTTTGGTGAGCAGAAAACAATGAAGTGCAACAACACTTGTAAGCCAGCCCTTGTGTAGCAGAGCGCTGGCTGCTGTCTTAGCCTCCTGTAAACATAACCTTTTGGGACACATGCATGCTGTGATCTCCACCTTGAACAGTGCTAGATTACAGAGCTGCACACTCAAAGGTCTTGACAGATCAGACATGTTTTTTACTAAGTATGGAATCAAGCCCCAAGCTTCAATCTTTATTTTCAACTCTCTTGTTACTCTGAGTGGAGTTTTGTTAGCTGGCAGTCAATTACAGTTTCCAGATGAAGAAAGATCAACACTTCACACATTGTCAGTTTTCAATGATGAAGATAAAGTTCACTATGCAGAAGCCAGATTCTTCTGAGAGCAACCCTCACGATCAGGCTGAGGTCTGCTCCCCTGAATTCAGAGACAGCACTGACCACCTTTCGCTTAGGTGAAAGGTACAGTGGTTTGGTTGGGTTCCTTCAGCAGACCTCTACACATATAGCTTTATAGTTTAACTGCACAACAAAATACTTCAACACAAAGCCTTATCCACTTAATGCTAGTGGTGGCAATGGTGATGAGGAGAGGGTTGGACTAGATGATCTTGTAGGTCGTTTCCAACCTTGTGATTCTATGATTCTATTGAAGACCAGAGCTCAACAATTAACAGAAATGTAAACAGAATATCCTAATATGCTCCAAGTAGACACTGAAGTGTTATGGGAATACACGTGGTGTGAGAACTATGGGGTTTTTTGTTTGTTTGTTTTTTGTTTGTTTTTTTTTTACACACTTCACAGTAACATTGATTATATTACCAGCACATCATATTCTCTTCACTGACAGAAGCATGCTTTTGATCAGTAAATCTATATAATATCAATTTAAAAGGGAGTGGAAAACAAGAAAGGTTCAATTTCAAATGGTGAGAATAATAGTCTGGGAAGCAGACTTTTGATTAAAAAAAAAAAAAAAAGTAAATTCCTATAGATGTATCAATCTCTTAAAGCTATGAACAGCAAGCTTCCTGTATAGAAGGCATCAGTTAACAGAACTGCCTTGCAATTCTGAAAGGCTTTAAGTTAACTATTTTAGTTTGGAGCATCCCAAAAATGTATTTAACCTACTGTGATGATGCTACGATAGTTCAACTTCTTAACAATCAAGTGTGAGAATTCATTGCACATGTGTACTGGCAGACAATTAAAACTTCGATGTATCAGATGCAAAACATACTACAGATTTTAAAATCCTTAAGCAGTCCTGCAAAAAT